CGTGAGAACATGCAACTTAGTAATGTGCAATATCTCCACCAGAGCAAGCAGAATGGGAGCTTCAGGGAAGAAGGGTATGGTGCATTCAGGAAGAGAACAACATGCTGCTCAGGGAAAGGAAAATGGTTCAGGCAAAGGTGTGCATGCTACTACTTTGGAAACCTGTGAGTTGGAGAATTATTGCTTCATCTATTCAAGACAAAAACAAAAAAAAAAAATAAAATCAAAATCCAGACAAGACCATCCCCTCCCTATTTCAGGGGTAAAGAATACTTTTCCTATTAATGCAGTGAAGTAGGAGATTCATGAACTAGCCTAATTTTAGAGAACCTTTSTGACCAAGGAAAATCTCACACTGTTATGGAGAGATAATAATTCCCSTCAGCCTTAAAAATACTACATTACTATTTATAGTTACAATGAAAAATTAACTACTCTTGAGAACTAAAATCTAAATACAGCAAACTGGTCCAAGTGGTCCTCATGTTTTGAAAGCAAGTYGTCATCCTTAAGCTGACAGAGTGGTGTCAAAAGAATTCCTGCAGCTCCACCTGCTCTGGCATAACCCTTCTGTCACAGCTGCCTGTCCCCTCCCAATTCCCCTTTCTTCACTGAGTCCTATGGCTAACTTTAAGTGGTTTCAGTGAAAGTAATATGTATTTACTATATTCACAGGCAACTAACCACCACTATCACTCAAGAGAAACTCTTACACATGATGAAATATTACTTTTGAAATGCATTAAATTTTGGTCCTGATACCCACTTATGTAATACAGAAAACAGGCAAAAAATTAAAGAAGAAAAAAAGACAGAGCTGTGGAGGGATTAAATGCAAAGGATAAACGAAGAATTTATCAAGAAGAAAAAAGAGCAATGAAATGTGGCCACACCAGAAAGTTAGAATCAGAGTGAGAAAGATTTCAGATGGCAAACCAAAGAGAAACAGATAAACCAACTGGGCATGAAAAAGTAAAACTACCAGACAACAGAAGCTCTTTTACTGCTGAGGCATTAGCAGTATTTAGGATTATTATAACTTTCCTAAATTTTTATTTCCCACCTCATTTACAGGCAATGACACATGAAATTCCAGCACGGAGTTTTGAATTAGTTGGTTGCTTTGAAAGAGACCGAGTACATCATACATCAGTCAGAAATCCCTGTGGTCACGTATGTGACTGGTAGTGATTTTCCTCCCAGGCTTTTTACWGTGTTTTAGGGAATCATCACACAAATACTAATCTTTCCTATTCCCYGTAGATTAAATGCTGCCTTCCACAAGCTGCAAACAATGTCATAGAAGCATTTTCACAATAAAAGTTACTCAAAATTGGGAAAACTGGTTTATGACCAGTTTGCAAATCTGTGTTTGTTCTATAGTCCAAACACTGCTGGTTCCCATCTGGAGGACTGCGTGGGGACAGGCCAGACTGCCTGTGAGAACTGGGAAAACTCAATCAAAGGCAGGTATCTAGGGCACAGGCAAATGCTCAGCTTTACAGTCAYATTCACAACATGGGAAAAGACCAAGTAGCAGCAAAGAATCCCTTGGGTTGCCCTTTGGGACAGCCGCAACCATGCAGAAGGTGACTCTCCCACCATCATCCAAGCTCTTAGTCCAGACCACCTCCAGCATCAGCCCCACCACTGCCCCGAGTCACACAGCCACCAGCAGCACCCCCACAGCTGGAATTTGTCCTGCTGAGCAGCAGCAGTGCTCCTACAGCTGTCCCCTTCTGCTCATGCTCACCCAGCTGGTTACTCATGTCAGAGCAAGTGGCAGTCATTGCTCTCCCCTGGTCCCATTAGGACAGTCATTTCCTCAAAGCAAGGCTCATRGTTTTCCCAGCACAACTTGCYCTTGGTGGAGCTGTGCTGGCTGGTACCACCAAGCCATCTTCTATCTTTCAGGACTCTGCCTTTGTACCACTAGGTTTGCCAAACAAGCTCTTGGCCCAGGCATGGCATGATGCTCCTGTTGAACCCCTACTCGATCCCACCACCTGATACATGCTGTTGGCATTCTGCCTCCCTGGCATCTGGATGAATGAATTTCCTATCAAAGGCCAGGAGGGCGTGGTTTGTAGCAGGCACCTCCTGGATTCCACTCAGCTTCTTCAGAACTCCTATAGTGCTGCCACASTTGCATTTATTTTTTCCCACTACTCAAGTTAATATATATTATCTTAGGTATTTTGACAGAAACAGTGAGATTCAAAACTTGGCTCAAAGCAGCCTGGAAAGCTGCTCTTACCCCTATATAGCTCATAAATCTATTTCTGTGAACAGGGAACTGTCACTGTATTTGCAAACTCATCATCAAGGGAGTTGGAAAAATATTTAGAAAATTTATAGCTACTTATAGTCCATAAAATAAAAAACACAGCACAGCTCCGATGAGAGAAACTGCAATGGGAAAAGGTCTTGGTTTGTTTCAGTGCTTGCTGGGTAACATCTTTAAGTTAAGGGATTTCTTGAGCTACAAAAACCACTTGTTGACTACCCTCCTCTTCTTTTTCCCCCTTGCTCTTTTCCTCTGCAATAAATGGCAAAGCACACAAGGGAACAGACTTCTTTGATTACAGCCAAGTTTCCTAGTGGTTTTCAAACACACTTTAAGTAAAAGAGCAACAGAAGTGACTCACAACATCAAGGATGATTATTTTTATGTCATTTCATCTATGAGCAACAGAGAGATTATCTTTTGCCAGGAGGATCCCTGCCCTCCAGACAGGAYGAATTAGATGCTGTCTTAGCTTTGTGCACATGCTATGTCCTGCTGAAGAGTGGTGGGAGYTGGAACACAGCTGGTGACTTTGAGATTTATTAACTTAATCTTTTCAGTCAATTTGAAAGCATGGGTATTTTGAAGGCAAATTCATGTTGTTTAATGCTGTCATAGTCTAATGATGAAAGCAAATACAGATGTTTCATTATTTGACAATTCACAATACAAATGGAGCCTCTTCCATCCTATCACCAAGCACTAACATCCATTTTGCATGCCATTTACAGATGAGTTGAACAAGCCATTCCTAAGTTCCTACCCCTGMTGCAACAACTCATGGCCAAAAAGTAAGAACAGTTGCTACTTTGTGACAAAAGGGCTTGCAGTAGCAATTGTTTTTTATGTGGCAACGAACTGGGCATGCATAAGCTCATGAGAAATTGTTATGATAGTCTCCTTATTTACATACTGAACATCCACTTGAGTAGAATGCAAGCTAACTGGGAACCATTACGATAAATCCTTATGTACAACTGAGAAGTGAGGAATGCCTGAAAATCTCAGAAGAATCATTCCAAAGAATTCAAATCAGGCACCAAGTACAGGCTACTCCAAATAAATATGAATGACTGATTCAGGCTACCTTAGTGATCACACAGACAGAGGCCCCTTTGTGTATCACAAGCAGCTTCACATTTTCTCCAGGTTCTCTAGACACTGGCTTTTTCTCATCGTATTTGCAGTTACTGATATATGCTGGCTCTTTCGTACTCATTTTCCTGCGGCTTCTCTAACATTATTACTTTTTCTTTCCTCCATTCTAACTCTGAAAAATACCTTGGGTCACTTGCGTCACATACCTGTAAACTTATCATTGCATTTAATACRATCCTCCTGACACAGTATCCGTGCCCAGATAAACCATATCCTACTTTTTCACACTGTTCCCCTCTACCATGGGCTAAAGAGAACAATTTGTGAGACAAGTATCAGTTTCCAAATCTGCTCACACGATTCGGAAAAGATAGAACTGAGCTACTAACCATGTGATCAATGAAAACTCAATAGCAGTCACTCAAGAGAAAGGCTATTAACTTTTTGGCAGAATTCCAAATCTGTTGCTTTCTACCTAAATTGCCCCTTCATTTCAAATGACTACAGCAGTTAATACTGTTGTCCAAGATCCTACACAACATAATGTAACCTTCCCATTGTTAAAATGGCAAATATTTGGCAGTAAGTTTGGAATGTGCTTTAATACCTCCCCAGTTTAAAGTCTACTTTAATGTGTGTTTTCTACGTACACACAAGATGGCACAGAAAGCAGTGGTGTAAGAGGCAATGGTTATGCAGATTYTAGCAGTCTGCTCACTTTGCCCGTACCATCAACTTTTTTTGTTTTAAAAATACGCTATGATTTAAACACACTATTTAAAATCCAGTTTACTACATTACCAACTTATTGTTTCAAGCTGCTAAGAGATGAAAGGGGATTATTTCATTAATCTGTGATAAATGAACATTATTGCATCTCCCCAAAAAGAGCTTTACTGTGAAATCTTTGTGAACCGTATTTAAAAAACATCTTAAAATCCTCCTTCACTTACTGAATARTTTAGAACCARCACACAAGAATGGTGAMAAAGCATGAAACACTGTGGATGCAYGCTGTAGGTGCAGTACAGTGGTGTTTCAAGTGTGATAAGGAAAGCGCTCCCCTGTTGTTCATTTTGATGCAATTTGGTTTATGGAGATCATGAACTAGATTTGTTTCAGATGAAAYTGAACTGGAAAATATACTCCAGAAGCATATGTAGTACATTCCAGGTRTAGATGGGTACTTGTTCTCTAATATTGGACAGAATACTTCAAACAAAATAATCCTGCAACTTTTACAGCACAGATGTCAGATCCTCTATTTTTACTGKTTGGCTGCATGAATCTGCTCCTACKGAGCTGCACTAGCTGTTACTGCCAACACWACTGCAAACACTACTTCCTGATGAGTTAGGGATGTCATGGGTGTAGCAATTTTACGAAACACTAGTACTCGTGACAGCACAGACCTCTGAAATTTTTCAGCCAAGTCCACTTGCTATTAACAATCAAAGGGGAAAAAAAAAAAACCATCAATGCTAGGTTCTTGAAAATCTTTGATATTTTGCACTCCATCTTTGAAACACAAGCTGTTGCATTTGTTACTTATTTGCAGTTGAACATTGAATTTAAAAAACGATTTTCAAGAAAGGGCAAGAAATCAACAATGTACCTTATTGCTTCCTCCACAGATTGGCCRACTATATTTGAGGAGGGACCTGGCTGAGACAAAGGTGTCAGGCTTATCACCCATTTTACTGGTTTGTAATACTCATCACTGGAGCTCAACAGGTAGAACAGCGTGGTCAGAAAAATCACCTGCAAAGAAAATTGAAGTTTTAAATTAAAAGGTAATAAATAATTTACAGAATTAAAGTACACAACTATGCTTCAGATACTGAATTTTACTGGAAAGGAACAAGATACTCTTCCACAAGCCTGGATTTAAGAAAACACACAGAGCTGAAAGAATAATTTTCTCCCCTGCTCCACAAAGGACTTAACATTTACAGCTAGACATTATAAAACTTCAGCCTCTTTCCAAAGCCACATGTAGACCAAACAACTAGAATGCTGATCAACATTCTAGTTGTGGGACTTTTTGGTTCTTTTTCAGCATGTTTAACATCAAAAAATTGCTGAAKAGTTACATCTATTCTCAAAACAAACAAACAAAACTGCCAAATAAATTTGGGCTGTCTCAAGAGTCATTATGCAGCTGGGTATCAGATATGAATTACTCAAAAATTCACAACCATGAATTTTATGTTAAGCTGGCAATCCTAAGTGAGTATTCCTTCTGTGAGTTTGATGATGAGTCTCAGCAGAAGTGATGGCAGTTCCATTGTTTCAGTTTAAAGACAAAAAAATTACAATCAGATTGGATTAGCTTCCTCTATGTTGCAGTCAATTATATTTCTTTTATTTTCCTGTTAGTGAGCTCAGCAATTTCTTGGGTAAGCATAAATCACAGTATCCATCTTGAAACAGAACACCTTGAATGAGAAAAATCCATTCTGTATGCTCCAAATGAAAACTATGGTTTATATTTGCTTCATCTACRAGTCTCAGACATTTTTTCTTTCTTCCCAAGATTAGAAAGAATTCTTTCATTTTCCCTGTTTCTAACCTACTTGTGGTCTAGAATAAACCATATCTTAAACCTTTTTAATGAGCCAAACAGCCTGACCACCATAAGACTCTTTACTTTCAAGCATTTTATACAGTTTGCAGACACCTCACGCTCTTCTCCTTCATTCTCTCTGAAGAGCTCAAAACCAAAATGGAGGCAGTAAAACATGTGGTATTTCACTAYCAATCTCAAGAATGACATCCATCTGTCTCTGTTCCTAATTTCTTTATACTCAGTAAAATGCTACTAGCATTTTTCCCCCTACTCTACCCTCCCAGACTTCAATCTGAAAGKCACATTCAACTATTCACCTATAATGATCCCTGTTCAAAAAGTCATATATTGGTTTAGGTTGTATTCCATCTTTCCAGGTCTTTCCCAAGCTTCTACCTTGGGAGATAGGTTTATCTAGCTAATAAAAGAAGTCATTATATTAGCAGATTTGAACAGCATGCTGTTAACATCCACTCTGAGATTTTAAAAAAAAAAAAAAAAAAAAAATCTTCCTTCAATGGGAAATAGTCTAGTGCCAGTAGCAGTATCAGCAATGTTTTGTTACAGTTTCAAATAAGAGAATCTTAAAACTTGAATCATATTTTAACATCCTTTGTAATCTGCAATTATAGTTATTTTTCTTCCTTGATAGGCTCTGCCATCTCTCCTAAGCTACTGTARTATCTCCTGACTAGAAAACTCTATATTGAAGCACCCAGATGATGTTGTGTCTTCCTTCCACTGAGCTCAGCCTACAGATCCTTCTTGCATGAGCAGTTTTTTCAGCACAGAGAGCAGCATATTGCTCCAAGTACACCAAGTATAATATCTGCTCATCCTGACTGCTCTTCCCCAGTATTTACAGAATAAAATTATTTTCTTAAAGAAACACATGCTAGACATACCCACCTGAAGTGTAAAAAGCAAAGCAATGGCTGGGAATGAAAAGCAGTGGAATAAAATGGTGTTAAGCTGAACTATGGGCTAGGAAAAGGCACAAATCCTACYCAATTTCTGCTAGAAAGATGGATGTAACACAGCGCAATACAAAATTAAATGAATTTTGGAATAKCTACACTTTGAGAAATTACTGTATTTCCTTTAGCACAATCAGTGTAGAAATGCAAAAAGAAGCTGTTGTCACAAAATACAATAATGTACTATCAAATAGCTTGCTGACTCTTCCAACAATAGAATAGCCTCAATACTACATTCAGCAGCAAAAGGTATGTCCTATCTTAGAGCAACTCAAGGCTAAAAGTTTTCAGACCCCTTTTAGAGGATATCTGAGACACCTAAATTGTTTCCTAAGCAACAATTCAAGATMCTGCCAATGACTACAAGGAAGAGTTTACCAAAGACAAAAAAGTAAGACCTTTCCATAGTTAAACATTGATGGGTTACTATTTCATGCTGTAGAATTTGTTCTGTAGCTAAAAACACTTAATACTCTAATTTGAGGAGGGATAGACTGAATCTGGGTAAACAGTCTCTACGAAAATGATAATTCAGCATTTCCACAGATACTGAGAAACACATGACCTAACTGTTAGTGCATCAGGTTCACTGATTCAGTAAATATTTTTGTATCTGCCTTTCACTCCATTTTCTGTTGAAAAGCCTCAGGATTTTCTTTGTTGCGGTTTTTTTGCTTGTTTTGGGTTTTCTGGTTGTTTGTTTTGTTGTGTGTTTTAAAGCATCCAAAATCTGCACATTCCCTGCAGGACTAGATTACTAAAACTGGAACTGAAATGCAACCAGTTGAAATGCTAACTACTTTAGACATTATCTTGTTGGAAAATTTAAGTTAGTTTGTGCCACTCCGAGCTAGTAAAAACTTTTGTGTAGCAACTAGGACACTTGAAAAATGAAAAAATAAGAGTACACTTCAAGCATGTGACCTTTAAAAGAAATCCAACACAGCAAGATCCCAACTACCTCTGCTAAACCAGCTGACTGCACAGTGCCCCAGCAAGAGGCAGAACCCTTCTGGCAGACAAAAAGTCAGGATCATGCATCACAGCAACAGCATGCCATGAACTTCATATAAGTCATTAGGCATTTAAAGATAAATTTTGTATCTGAGCCTGTGTGCCATGAAATCATTAGCAATTAATACCCAAACTTGTATTTTTGCATGTTAACTTTATGGACACGGTTTTCAATGGGCCATCTTGGGAGAAGTTGTGGACTAAGGAAGAAATAGAATACTCTCACGTAAAACTTTTTTTTCATGGATAACAACTAGAGAACAAATTGCTGATTTCCCTGCAACAATTTTACCATCTTCTGAAAGCAATGGCTTGTATAGGGATATGCTTGTGAGGACATGCATAAGATTTCTGCAATTACATAGGATATCACAAGTTACAGCTTTGTATCTTCAACTCCAGAAACTAGAAYTTTCCACTAATAGAACGACAGGAAGACTTACTATCTCCTAATGTAAAAGTTACACAGATCTTGCCCTCTGTTTAGAATTTCCCCAAAACAGATACGGAATTTGAAAAAAATCTTACAGAATATTGGTATTAGGTAAGTTTAGAAGATATTTTCAATRCTTCAGGTTTGAGTTTCCATTGTTACAACATGTGCAATCAGTTTTTTCCAATAAAACGGACAYGTAAACTAATGACATACTACTTACCACCGAAAGCACAAAATTSAGAAGAGCTGTCCCACTGTGGAAGAGGATTGTCACTAATGTTGTAACTGTAGTAAATAAGAGGCTCACATTGCGACTCATWACTATCCACAGAGACTCCAGGATCTGAAAAAGGAGCAAGAAGTGAAGACAAAGTAAGGCATTGGATGCCATTAGCAAAGACAGAGAATTGCTTACTGAGTGATTCATCTCCATCATGCCAAACAAAGATTATTTTAAAAAAAATCTTCCCTCACTCGTACACTACAGCAGGTTCTATCAAGTGAAAATGTCTACTTCACCAAAGGTAAGTTTCTATGTAGTTGATTACAAGGTTTTAGAATTTTTCTCCCAATAGTCAAAATCATTTCATTATACAAAATYGCACACAAACTAGATGTGGTGACACTTGTTTATTGTTAGTGACATCCAAGCATATCTTGTCTTGGGAGAAAAAACACACCTTTTCACAAAATATTAACACACAAAGAATAAAGCAGAAATAAATCTGAAGCTTCAAATCACACAATAAAACTACTACTTAAATAAATTTGTTTTTAAAAGGTTKCATGGTAATGAAATGTTTATTTTAAATAACATCTACAGAAAAATGCAAAAGTTGTGATTTTGAGTAGGGATGCATCACWTAGTCAAGTAATTACGAAAAATAAATCAAACAATATTGGACAATCTACTAAAATTTCTGTTGGCTTGAGGTACTGATTGCTTATGGTTACATATAGAAATCACCAGTTTTGATGCATCAAAAGGAAGCATATGGAGGCATCCTAAATGCAATGCACAGTAGATTCAAACAAATATCTCATCCAGTAGGAATATAGTCAGAATGTATTAGCCAATGTGATTCTAACATACAAAAGAAGCAAGATCACAAACAAAACTTTCAGATTAACTAATGTAACTGGAAAAACTGTAAAAGCTCTGACACAAAAGCCTTTCTCCCAGTTCAAAACTGTAAGCGAAGACTTCAAAATTAGCAAGTGTTAGTCTTGGTTTAAAAAACAGTAATTAAACTGAGTTAAAAGAAAACCAACCAAGCAACCAACACGCCCCTAAAACAAAAAAAAAAAAAAAAAAAAAAAAAAAAACCCTTCCCCAGTAGACAGCATTTGCAGAGAAGATACAGGAGTGCAAGCCATGTGACCACCTCTCCTTTAGAACTGACTGAATCCTATCAAACATAAATTATTAAGCATGAAATTAAGAGGGAGTATGTGCTGAGGGAAATGACAGGAAATTACAACACAGAAAGACCTACTTAGTTCATGCTTCCTACTATTTAATGGGAATTATGAATGTTAAAGCTCATCTTTTGCAGATTTTATTAGTCTCTCTTGAGAATTCAAGTGAAGTTAGAAGTGAAGAGGACACTGCTGAAAAATGTTTTCCCACTRGTACCTGTCCCTTTGCTTCTTCTATGGATTATAAACTCATTCTGGGGGTGCAGAAGTGGTGTAATTTCGTGCAGCCCCCCGGTAACATTATTATGTAGACTGTCATGAGGACTGTAAACACAGAGAACAGYGAATTCTGAGGGAATGGTTTGTAGCTAAAGCAGAGGCCTTCCAGCTGGTATTCGGTAAAGACAGTGCTATCATTGCTAGTGGCAGGGCATTGCTTAAGTTGTATGCAAGGTTCCCTTCCCAGATGTGTAAGCCTATTACTACAACTTGGTGTGCAAACAGGAGCTTGGTACTACAAGTCTTCTGTTACAATGTGGAGTTTAACCACAGAACAGCAGCAAACACCTAGAAAATGGGGACACAGGTTGAAAACAAAGGCCCCTGAAACATGAGTAGTGCTTTGAGTAAGAAAGCATTAAAGACACACAACCTTAAGAACTAGGAAGACTGCTTTTCCTTCAAGAAAATGAGGTAGGAACTAAGAAAGGGGGAAAAAACCGCAACAGGCAAACAACAGGACAAGGCACCTCTCCTGACTTGGAAAAGTAATACTTCTCCCAAGTGTCACAGCATATAGTCCAAGGCGGTTGTGTGGAATAAAAACACCTTATGAAAAGACAAGCTTCTTAATTTGAGGGAAGATGATCTCCATTAAATTCCAGCTTTCCATACCTAAGAGCTCTTGAGCCAGCTCATTTAGACTCCTGTGACTCAGACCWTTAAGGACAGCTTCTATTGGTGCCAACTACACCATCATAACGGAATTTTATCCTCACAGCTCATGTAGGACATGATTGTTAAGAACTGACCACTTAAAATGCATAATGATAAAATTAGGAGACTGTAAAGCAAACTATTAGTGTGAAGTGTGTTGATAATGAAAATTGGTCTAATAAAACCAGCCTGATTTAACAGTGTTCTAAATACTAATCACAGCAATTGCTAAGATCCTCACTTGCAATGCATAAACTGAGCTGATACCAGTGAGAGTTCACAAGAAGAGGGGCTTGTTCCATCTGCCAGAGGAGGGCACACAATTGGTGGGTCTGTGAAAGTTTTCTTTAAAATAGGATGTTTCTCCAGTTTCTCCAGTTCAATAAATCCAGGCAGGATTTAAACACTTTCCCCAGAAGCTTTGGCCTGAGGGCTGATAACCTGGAGTACACAACTGCAGGTAGCTTGAATATAGGTACCAGGCTGTTCAATTAACATCAGGAATTGTTCTGACTACATGAACATCCTTATATGGTGGAGTCATTGATTGGAACTGTCTATCACCAGCSTCTGCTTTAGAGTAAGTGCAGACAGTGCCTTTCTGCAGCTGTGGTATGTCTAATGAAAGCAACTGCATCTTTTAGGACTTGTCTCCAACTACAGAATAATTCTTCTTTTCACATATGTATCATTAAAATTTCAAGATACAAGCTTCCCATAGCTAGGGTGAGAAGACAGACATAGCAGGCATTAATCATTACTGAAAACAGTATCAGAAGCTCAAAYACTTTCCTACCACTCACAAAATCAAATTACATGCAGCTGCACCTACGAGTTCATAATGCTGTTTTGATTCCCAGAGCCTACTGCAGGTGAGTAGATGAGCTCACCTATAATATATTAAGAATTGTTAACATCTTGCCAGCTGAGATGAGTTCTCCAAAATGGAACAGTCTGAATATTTAYGCAATAATGTTACATTACTTTTAGTTACTTCTTTTTTTGTTAAATAACCGAAAACCACACCTCTTTCCTCAAACCACTGCTCTGCAAGCAGCCATAAGGGATCAGTGCTTAAAAGAGCTATAAAGCCATATATTATGGYTTTATAGGACTCCCTTATGCTTCAAACCGTGCTGTGTCACCATCAGCATCAGTTACTGCGCCTTTCCAAATCTGTAACAGGCCAGAAAACAAAATTGCGCACAATGTTCTCAGACATATAGGGTGTCTTCTTGGCCACTTTTAAACTGCTCAACACCTGAATATGAGGGTTAAAAGGCACTTCATTTAAACAGTAATTTGCTGAGAACTTGAAGTCAGCAAACTTCTGGAGGCCAGATAAATCTATGTACCTAAATTTGATTTGATTCTAAAGATCAGCAGATGGATAAAGAGAATAAAACTGGACACAAAGATTTAAGAAAAAAGATAAAACAAACCCATGCTAGTTGATATATTACYGAAAAATGGACTGAATTAGCTATAAACTTATGAGATTACTTGAAGAAATTACTGCATATCCTAATATTTTCTCTGGCTCCAGTAATTCAGTGAAATATTTGAGAAGCTGACTTGATTTAAAACACACAGATCAGTCAYGCTAAAGGCACAGAAAGAGAAACCTAACTAAGCTGAAGCTCRCTGTGTACATCTCTATGGAAGGTCTTCTGTCTTCCTGTCTGGGACATCTCTGAATGAGATACCGCCTGCTGCTGGAATGATGAGTATTCTTGTGCAAGGAGCCAAAAGATCAAATTAAGAAGACATTAGCAATGTCTCATATAACATCAAGGGAGCTCTGAGTCATCATTCACAGATTTAGCCRGCAGCAATTCACTTTCTCAATTGTACAAGCGTACAAGAAAGGGAGAAAAAAGGGCGTGAATGAAAAAGCAGATGAGTGAGGAACAAATGAGTCTTTTTTATTTTTCAGAAATTAAATCTTAATAGTCCAGCTATGCGCTGCCTATTTCATCCATCTGATAAACTACCTTCGAGTTGAGCCTGGAGTGTAAAACACTAGGMATGAGTGAAGATCTACTCTTGCTCTCTCTGCAAAGAATGAGATTAAATAAACCACACTTCAGAAACGCAACTCTGATTATATTATACTGGTTTTTAACACTACTGATTCTTCTACTGGAAAACGGCATCKGTGCTGCTAACACCAAAGAAAAAAAAGGAAAACTTTAAGAAAAAAAAGGAAAATGATGACTTGGAAAAGCTTATCTTCATATTAAATCTTCAGGCAATTTACATGTTTATATAGTAAATTACTTTCAAATAATTAACATCTGTCTACATCAAACCACAGATAAGCATAATTGCTAAAATGAACAGCGCATTTTGAGGGGGGTACAGAAGTCTTCCAAGCTTTACCTGATACTCAAAGTTCTGAATCAACGCATGTTGTTACAAATTAAATGAACACCAGCAATTCCCCAGCACACCTACATCAGTGATTTAATTACATGCTTTCARCTCGAAAATGGAAATTTCTTCCACTATGGGGGAAAAGCCTGAAGTGAAACACTAGCATCTGTCTCCTTTTAATGTTTTTCTTACAGCAAATGCTCCTTCTCTTATTTAGGAGGAAGAAYACTTCCTGAGATTTCCATCCATGGAAAAGGGCTTATCTGCTCGTGGCTGTAATATGACACTGTCAAATAGCTGTACTTYCCTAGAAAACTGTCATCTGGTTTTATACTGAAACACTTCAGAAAGCCAAGGGGCTACCAAKACAGTTATTATTTGGTAAACTCAACCTATGTATAAATATTTGTTACATCCAAGTAGTATGATCATGTACTACTTGCAAGTAACAAACGTTTATTCTTTGCCAAAAGTGGAGAAAAACTCATTGGAACTGCGTATCTGCTTCTTTACACYCTTCTTTACAGCTATCTCATTGTCTTTAAACTATCTGTTTGTTTAAAAATGGTCGAAGCAGCTTTGGGACTGTACTGTGTCTTGCTGTATTCTTAAGAACTGCAAGCCAGAATTKATTTTAAGTGTTCAACCTCACTCTCAACCAAACCTCCCCCAAAAAACAAACAAAYAAAAAAAAMCMAMMAAAMCMMMAAAAAAAAAGAATGGTTGGGTTGGAAGAGACTGTAATGATCATCCCACAGGCAGGGTCGCSTTTCCTTTGACCAGGTTGCTCAAAGCCCCATCTAATCTGGTCTAAATCCCATCCAAAGTTCCACAAAATATGAAAAAAGCAAACAAACAAAAAACTCAAATCAAAGAATCTAAGCAAAGGAAAAGCTGAACCCCGAGAACATCCGCACCAAAAGCACTCACATAAAATATTAACTTCCCAATTCAGTATGCTGTTCGAATAAGCCATTGTTCCTCTTCAAAATCCCAAGAGAAAGGTTTTCATACTCTGATAAGAACATAAATCCTGTATATAGTAAGACTGCTTTGCATCTTAGGCTAGGTAAGAAACTTGCCTTAAAACACCAGATTTAAGCAAAAACCATTCTTATTTTCATCATCTCCAAGTTTTAATGGCTTATACAAGAACAGAGATCGTATTTTCATCTATTTTAATTTAAAATATTAGTGTGAGTAATACTTATGCAATGCACTGTAGATGAGCAAGCCAGGAAAGAAAATGCTGCCCAGTAAGAATGTGAAATTAGAATTTAGAGCTTTATATTAAGCTGACTGGTTTGTAGTCTGTCATTAAGGACATGAGTTTATGGAGAAAAAAGACAGGTGTTTCCCCATAGCTGATGAGTAATGAGTTCCTGGAAATAAACAGGAAAGCAAGCCGATTTTAGAAGTACCAGATTTTAGAAGTAAAGCAAGCCTGTTACCTAGATGAAAATTTTAATATTAATGTTTTTCCTTATTAAATATTTATTTTCTTTTATTTGCATCTTTCTAGCCTACTTAGATTACTGAAGCATACTGTACATCAAGGTTTCTGAGCACTGTGAAGCAATGCTGCAAATGACATGCTCTTATCATGTAGCTTCTCCTCCTTCTGTTCCTCTCGCCTAGAAGGAAACTCCACACTGATTTTAAATCRTGATGTGCTGTGCATTTTCATCACTCTGCCTGAAGCATGCATGGCCAACTTTGAGAAAGTATTAAGCAAATTTCATTATTAACTGAAAAAAAAGTTTACTGCAATAAAGTTTCTCTCAACTTTTTCTTGTCTCACATCTTCTACAACAATTTAAGCAGCAGTTGGGGGAGGACAGAAAAAGCACACAAGCCTATCAGTCTAAACCAAGAACTGCCTGCAGGCAAATACTAGCTTTAAYTGCATCCACAGATCTGCTATGGTGCCAGTTATCTCCAAAATTGAAAATACTTCTTGTTATGACAACAGTGCAAGTCAAAGATGAACTACATTGAGGAATGACTCCGTATGGTAAGCATTTTGGACTTAACATGACTTTTAAGYRAAACACTTCAGTTTGGATGGCTTTCAATGCTTCCTCTTTTTCTCCTCACAAGGTGAAAGGTCCAGTGCACTTTATCCAGGAATTCACACGTGTAAAATATTAATTCTCCGCAAAACTTTCATAAAAGAAGTAAGCTGATTTTAATCAAATTAATAATAATAATTCAAGACAAAAAAAAAAGATACCCCCCCCACTTTTATTGCTTGGTTTTGTTTTCACAGCCTCTTAGACAAAGCTTCTTCCATTATAATCTAAACTAACCAGACTCTGTAAAAAAAAAAAAAAAAAAAAAAAAAGACTACATAAAATAATGCACTGAAAATCAGTTTGCAGGTGACACAGGTAACAATCTGCTTCAGGAAGATGTATGAGAAGCTGGTATCAATGATGATGCTGAAATCACAAGAGCTTCTTTATCATAAATGTTTCTGTTTGTTTTATAGTTTTATCTTAAATAGGCTTACAATAATTGCTTAGTAACTGTCAGTAACACTAACAGTATTTCCCTATTTTTCCATGTACTTGAATCCATAACCTTGGTGGTACTCCAAGGAGAAATGGCTATCATTTGAAAACAAGACCAATTTCATAGAAAATGCAAAGAATACGTACCGAGAGAAATGTTTCRATGTTATCATGAACAAATGATGCAACATCTTGCCAGTCCAGGATATCTCCAAGCCAGCTGTTTTGACGGTTGATGTGCCACTTGTGTCCTTTATGTCTTCCAGAATGTGTTACATTCTTGAAAAGAGACAAAGAAAATAGACATTGAAATAAAATTTATAGACATGAGAAAGTCAAAAGCTAATGATTTAGACTGATGTTTTTTAATGAGGAATAGATCCAACATGCATCTAAATACTATGAGCTGCTTTAACTCGCATCCCTAAAAGTACCTGCAAGTACTCTGTACACTGTAAAAATTAAAATCTGACAGAAAACTGTAGTTAATTATCCCATTTAGTTACATATTTGCATATTGTACTGATTCACCTCTGTTAAAATTAACTTTACTGCTTGACAGATACAATGGTATCTATTTTGCTCTTAATGAAAGCACACAAGAACAAGGKAATGATTTCAGTTACTGCCTACATAATTTACTGTTTGCAACATGCAAGTTTTGCCAGTCTAGCACAAAAAGAAAAATGTAAGCAGAAGTCAAAGCAAGTAGTATTCTCACTATTAGTTTCTACCTATCCCCAGGTAATGTTCAATCACACAAGACTTAAAARCTGAACTGGATGCATGAAGGATTTCTTCTGACCACACACCTTTAAAACTGCAACACAATAAGACAACAGGACATGGCCATAAAAACAACAGCTAATTCCTTAAGTGGCTCCTCCCTAATTATGAAGTTGCCTATTGCCCAGTGAATCATACCTGATTACCACCTCTAAWGAGGCTATTTGAGTCAGTCTGTGACAAGTGTTTAAGAGAAGGATGCCAAAATTCTCTGTARGTAAGCTTAAGCACACCCATTGACTACAACATTCTAGTTTTTAATAGGAGATTTCCCAAGTTCTTAACTCTGATTTTATAAGCATTCCACTTCTTTTACAGTTTTGTGCATACTTTTAGCATGCTGAGTTCAAAATGACAGTATCTTTTTTGCCACACATGGAAAATAACATTCCAAGTGAGGTCACTGATTTATCTAAGAGCATTATGTTTTCTGSTTACAACCAATTCTCTCTAGAAGCACTTTTTGACTTTGTGACGCACAATAAGCAACCTTCTTTAACAATCCACTGCAACACAAAGACCTTTGCACTGAGCTGGAAATTTATTTAGAGCAGAAAACAWATGAATAGTCAAAAATCTCCCTCCAATAGGCCTTGTGTATTTGTAAACTGTATGAAGACCTATCATCTGTTCATTTTATTCTGTATCAAAACTGTACTTTTTCAATGCAGTAATCTTGGAACTTCAGAGGTACTTGAAAAATGACTGCATAAAGAAAAGAGTTAATACAATCACAGTTATTTAAATATCCAGAAATATTTCCAGATTTCCAGAAATATTTCCGGATTTGGCATTTCCATTGCACAATGAGTTGCTTTTTCCTTTAAAAGACAAAGACCATTGGCATAAAAATRATTTAACTCTTATGAACTTTTCAAGACACAGAACCCATTATAAGATGGCTAAAAAATGCATTGCAAGAAATTTAAGAGGACAATTACTTCTTCACAATTTCAAATTAATAAAAGTTAMACAAATCATGCAGAAGACCAGCTTCCTTTTCCCAACATCTCAACAACACTGAAATTCAGCAGAAAGTGCTAAACTATGAAATATTAACTATAAAAAGTAGAAAAAACGCAAATAAATGACATACAAAAAAACATAACTACTAGTGTAAGGCATAGCTCTGGCTATACTCAAATTGTGAATGTAGAATAATCTGTTTTACATACTTGAAATTTTTATCTTCTTTTTATCAACCTTTACTCAGTATTCCAACTCTCTGCTAATCCCTTCCTCAGAAATGCATACTTAGTACTCTGAGATATAATTATGCTAAGTGACACTTTATATGAATACCATTTAAATAAGTTACCCACCTTGACAAACCAAGAGTGGTAAAGCCTGTCCCAGAGCTCCAGCACTTGCTTTTCAATCACAGCAGTATTATTTACCTTTTCTCCTAAAATCTTATGGAGCTAAAACACATAAAAATCTTTTATTATACAGGACAGAATAGAGCAGGCATCTACTCATAAATTTCAAGCTTGCTGAATCACTGTAAAGGCACATCTCAAGCCGAAATTATTAGAAAAAATTCCTATCAGTATGAAATAGTTCAGACAACATGGTTGACAATACAAAGATTTGGTTAAAAAAAACATTCTGCTGCACTAAGGATTTCTTCCTGTGCTGAAAAATCAAAGCTGTCTCTAAAATGCTTAATCCCAAACCCTTGATGCTATCTTTGGAGTAAATATTTCAAATAATTTGAGATGTGTGCTCGATACCAAAACACACAAATTAAGAACCTTGGCAAATTCTTCTGAAGAAAGTTAGCTTAACAACATAAATTATGTAAATTAAAAATGTCCAGTGTACCACACCCAGCCCACACAGAAATTAGGATACAGGGGAGAGGGAGGGGTAGTGGTCACCATAAAAGCCTCCATTGCCTATAATATAACAGCCAAAGCCAGTTAAAAAAAACCCCAAAAACATTAATTTTTATTTGATGCATTTTCACTAGGAATCATTAGAACAATGACAGATTCTTCAGCTCTTAAAAATAAACTATCCTCTAACAGRAAACACTGTTGAAATCACTCCCCCTTTTCCTTCAAAACTTACCAACTAGAGAGTGGAAAGAATAGATCTGTCAACAAAATGGTTAAACACATAGAAAAAAAATCCTACTGACAAATAAAAATGCATTTCTTTTTCCTTTTACGAAATACAAGAAATAAAAACAAAAAAAAACCACCCCAAACAACTGGAGTTTTSTAAGAGCTCACTCTTACCTTGTGTGTGATCCACTCTCTGCCATACTGGTACACGTTATTTGCTGCGGAATTGAGAGCCTTCTGAATGACCTGGGCTTCTGGGAGCCAGCTGGGGGGTTTTGAAAGAAGGAAAACGAAGTTGACTACTATATTTTATACCCATTTCATTACACCCAAAACACATTGCAAATTAACATCTTGGAACAACAACAAATCATCAAATATATATGCACTTATTACAACTAGAATGTTTACTTCTACATACCAAGGAAYAGATTTTCCCATAAGCAAAGCACAATTAAATCTAAGGCACGTCATTGCATTTAAAATCCTCCAAGGTTCCTGAAGCCTTAATTAAATTAGTATCTCAACTTTTTCAAAAGAGATCTTCTCTTCAATCTGTATCTGTGCTATTGACACGACATTCTTTTTTTTCCCCCTAGAGTTTTCTGAAAATACTGTRTGAAGGAGTCTCAWCTAGCTRCAAACACAACCTTCTGAATTACAARCTGAATGTAAAYTGTTAACATAAGTGCCTTGAAAAAGCAWCCAGCTGAAAAAAGGTTTGGACATCAGTTATTTCTATGTCCTCACCAAACTACCTGCTTGTGAATTTCTTTAGGTGCTCGCATCACTTTCAAGCCATGTACCCGACTGAGTTGCCAGCATTTCACTACTTGTGAATACAGGGCACACAATCTCTGCTTCGCCTTTCTTTTTACCTCTTGATTCAATGGCACTTGCTGGAGCCKTTCCAAAACAAAATGAAATTCAGGAAATAAAACTGCTGTATTTGTTCACCTGACTGAAGATGAACAGGGAAGCTCTTCCGTCTGTATAATGTTTCAGAAATGTTCCCAACTGGAATTCCAAGACCTTTCAGTCACTCACCTCTAAACGTAATATGAGCATTAAGCTCTGAAAGCTGGTAAWGCTTCATGGATTTGACGAGAGGTATTCTTACTCTTAATGAATTAAAATATAGTCTTATGGACACTTCATATTCGCATGTAAACACTGGAAGTAAAAAGTTATGCTACAATTCTACTAATTATTCAACTAGCAGTCCAGTAGTTTCATTATTAGAACAAGCTTCTGACAGTCAAATTTCCATTTTCATTACTGCCACTTATTTCCATCTTACAGTAAAATGGAAAGGTCAAACAACACAAGAGATGCTATCAAGAAATAAAACCATYTAAAGTACTTTCTGTTTTCATGATTATGATTACTTTAGTAGTGCTAAAGCAGGTTATTTCTACAGTGGTTATTAACTACATCCTTTTAGTTGTGTTCTTTAAAAATTGTATTGCTCTTAAAATACAGGATRTGCTTCTTTCAATCTTGTGAAACCACCATCACTTTTTCAAGGGCACATTTTAAACAAAAGTCAACCATTTTTATCCTGGAGAGAATTTTTTTTTCCTGGCATAAAATTGGTATCTCCCCTTTGCCCAATGTCTGTTTAGGTGAAGCAGAATGAAAACTATCTGGAATATGCCCCCCTTAAGATCACACTTTTCAGTCTCACCTATTTCTCCTCTGATGTTCATGCAATCATTCCTTTGCTCACCAGTGCATGCTCTTTGTTTTCTCTAGGTGCCTTTCTCTCAAAATTTTCTCTCCCTTAATATTTGCCTTGGTGTTTACTTTAATCATTACACAGACTAAACCTTACAAACTTCCCACTACACGCACCATATACATCTACTCTTAACAGAAATCCCCCTTGCCAGCTGACTTACACCAAACTTTCCCTATCCACCATTCCTTCCACCCTTGAACTCTTCTTCAGTTCACTCCAAAACCAAGTCTTCAACTTCTATACCTTCAAAGGCGTTCTGCATCCATCTCTCCACACTGAAAAAATAATTCAGCTCTATCCTGAAACCTTTTGGAGGAAGCATTTTTGCCAGCACTTTTCTTTCACAGGAAAAAGGGAAAAAAACCCAAAACTGATCTCTTTATTCTCTGCACTATACAAGTTTCTTCTCCACAAATGTAGATAGAGAAGTTCATACAGCTGTCCTTCACCACCAAAACTGAGTCCTCAAATGAGATACAACAGTGACCGTCTTCCAGCATGATGAGTAAACATCCCTGCTGAGAGTTTAGCTTTTACATCTGCCCATGAGAGACACCCACATTTCTGTTCAACCAGGGGATTTTTTAAGTTAAGAACTATGCATAARAGCACCTGGAAGCTTGTTCACCCACCCTATACTATTCTCTTAACTTCAGCATTCTTACTTTGCCCATTCTGGGTGGCTGGCTACTGTCTCATTGATCAAGCTGCTTGTGACTTGAATCATGTGAACACTCTCTTGATGYACCTAAATAAAAGACAGAGAGAAGCAATGTTATGTGATACAAACTAAAACTCTTCCTACATTCAGAAACACTTTTTTTTGGGGGGGTGGGAGCCAAGGTGTCGGGAGGAAGAGCATAACGCAAAGGGGGGAAGGAAGGGGAGGGGGTGAGCAGTGACCAGTTTGTACATTTAAAGAAAATTCTTCCAGTGAAAATAACCCCCATCAAGAAAGCAGTGCCATTAATCCAAGAAAAACATAACAAACCATCAGTCTGCTTCAACAATTCTGGTCACTAGTAATAGCAAATGGCAATCGAAACTTTATCACATCAGTGGAAAAAAATTTTACAATACAGCAGTGCTGTCAAGGGAAKCACTAAATTACAAAGCAGTTTCAGATACATCTTTTTAAGCCATTGATCAACAAAGAGTAAAAATTAATGAATACTTAGCTCTAACGTGACCAGCCACGCTATGAGGTACCTGACCAAATAAATTCTTCACTAAGAATGAAAAAAACAGCTTTTATAAATATCTTAATAGYTCCTTTATGAATATAAGGAAGCTTTAGAGAGGATTGTTTGCACAATTTCTAAAGTTTTCAATTTTAAGTACTCCACATTATATATGCCTACATTTTGGAAGAAGGAGATTGAATGTTTGACTTAAATACAATTATGGAAAAAAGATCAATGGGTTCCGATGTCAATCTCCATCGACCGTTTCAAGTATGAACACAGCTCCATTAAGGAAAAAGGAAAAATAAAAGAAGTACACGAGTGACCTCTTCTGGTAAGAAAAAAAAACCCAAACACAATTATAACCAAAAAACAGTTTCAGAGAATATCTGACAATGAATCTCAGTACATTTAATCCAGAAAAGGCAATTACACAAACAAATTGCCAAAGACTCCTTAAGCATTTTGCAAATRTATTTCTGATGCAAGTTGAACTAAAAAGAAAACATTCCAAGTGGCTCTGCTCTCACACCTCTGACAGGGTGAGTGCTAAAAGTATGTAAAACACATCTGTTCCTGTAATACGTAAGCTAGTAATTGTTTTATTAGAATAAATTTTGTATTTCCAAATGTATATATATTAGCCTTGTCATAATTTAAAATACACAGAAATGMAAAGAATATACTGAGATTTTTACATATTTTTRTATATTTTATAGGCTTGGAATGGTGACAAGCTCAACTACAGAGCAAGTAACGTTTAAAAAATTCTTTAATCGGTACAAGATAGTGTTATTATCAGTAACCCTCATCAGCAATGAAAATCATCTCTATGATTATATTTGTGAGCACACTGTACCTTTGCTGTAAGGAGCAGGGCTAGGAGAAGGGTTCCTATCACTAGCAAAAATATTATGAAAATGCTGATTATTTTATCCAGCATTTTCTCCAACCACACGATAATCTGTGCAGAAAAAAAAAGGAAAAAACAAATTATAGCACATAAATAAATCTTTAATGAAAGCAGTGATCTATGCTATGCAACAGTATTGTTATTTTTATTTACAATCACAGTACAAAATCAGGCTCTAATCAAACAGCATTTATGCCCAAGCTTGGAAATGAACAATTAACAAGCRATGTTAGCATGATTAAAGTCATGGTATGACATGTGATTTTGCAAAAAAAACATGTACACATTACCACACAACACAGCAAGCTCTCTGCAAAGCAAGCAATAATTCAGCAGTTACTTAGGAAGATATTCAAGTCAGCTAGAACCCACAAATTTGTCTTTGTTTCTTGTCCTTTGGCAACTTGGAAACTTACAGATACTGTCTGCACAGGACTTCAAAGCTGTCAAGGTATACTGCAAAGCACAACCATAACGTTCAGGTTTGAATAGCTAAGAGCCATCTAAATGACAAATGAGGTATTTTTGCAAGTAATAAAATTTTTAAAGCTGCCTCATCACCTTCAGAACTGAAATGGGACAGGTGGGGTTGTACATTATTGAATATCAGGCCAATTATTATTATAGCACCAACTATTTCAATCCACTTCCAGTCTCAGGAGGATGCTCAGCATTAAGCATGCATCAGCTGATAGAGGAAACAGGCACATTTGTTGTTCTGTCAGTTTACAAAAAGGCCCATTCTAGACATGTCCATAAGCAAATGGTGATAGCACATTCGTGCAGAGAAATTCTGATAATGTCATTCAAAACAATGAAACTGCTCAGTCCCATGACTTTGCAGAGTGCTCTGGAATAGTGCAAGCTGAGCTTCATTTCATACACAAATTGACTGTTTACATAAAAAGCTGTGAAAGCACATGCAAGTATGACCAAATACATTTTTCTAGCTCCTGTGGTTCAAACACCAGGTCTATTTCTCCTCCATTTAGCATTATTATAGGAAAAAGCRAAAGCACAACTGTAACATTTGTGATTTAAGAAAACTGAGGTCAAAGCCAATGTGCAGTAAACTACTTTTGAGTACAAGTTATAYATTCAACAATTAAGCTGGCAACTTTTTAGTTAGAGATCTTATAAMACTACTAAAATGCATGCTGATGGTTTACATTAGTTCTTTATTCATTATTTATCCTATCTCTACACATGAAACTCATGCTGAAACAATGAACTTCTCAGACTGCTGTGTGATGATTGAACTGGTCAACACTGAAGGCATATCCCCTATTTGAAAAAAGGGGTTTTTTTGTGTGTGTTCATCTGGCAGCATCGGAGCAGTTAATGTACATCAAGTAATTATTTTTAAACTTCAAGTTTTTACAACCAGCTCCTTAGTTTGATCTAAATTAACTCAAGGATTATATTCAGCATTTTAGAACTGTTGATCAAAACAATGACAAAAACTACAAGGAAGTAAAATCCATTTAAAAGTAACAAAGTGTTGAGCCAGCAAGTTTCTGTAACAACACAGAAAGGAACTCGGAGAACATAAGGGAACATGAAAAATCTTTTGTCTTAGGTATTTTTAACAGTTTTCAGCATTGCTGAAGTATTTCGGCCATCAGAAATGCCTTGCCAGTGCTGGAGGGAGGTGACCTGCCTGCAGGAGTGCAGCTTTCTGAAAAACTTTGAGTAGTCCCTACACAGGGCATATATATGGTGTATATAGGGCATATATATGGTGTACATATAGGAGCTACCTCCTTGGAAATAAGACTGAAACAGGATTTGCTGTGCCCTCTCAAGCTTCAGGCATGCCTAATGATTATGAAAGAGAAGCAAGAGAAAAAGTCCTTGTTTTAAAGGACAAAAATCAAAAAATATCACCAAAGAAAACACCACTGGATGGGCAGGGGAAGGAAATTTTATAGCATGGACTTCAAAATGAAGATATTACAAATTAAAGCTGCCCTTGTCATTTCAGACAAAGTTCAAACTGCTATTTACTTTCTGTGTCAGAGATAAAAGAAATCCTATAGTCCTACATATASCACCTTAATCAGATTCACTGAATCCATGTAATTGGAAGTACTGACAGAAATGTACAAAAATGTTAGCTTCAGTGATTGTTTGAAGGGTATGCAACAGATGAAATCTCAGTGGASCTGAGGCTGAATGCTTTAGATGTTTTACCCTGTAGCAATTACTGCAAGGTCAAGCTCCAGAAGACCAGGATGAGGACTCTCGCTGAGATGGCACAYGATGAACAAGATATCTTTCCTTGACACTCTGTACTGGGCATTCAAATGTGCCTAGGCTGCCATTAAGGTGCAGCTGCAGCACAGGCAAATCCTGGATTACCTTTGATCTAGTTGGTAAAGTCATGGCAGCACTGATGATGCACTGTATGGGCTGCAGCCTCAGCCATGCAAACCCACCTTGTCTCTGTTTACTTGGGCAGGTAGCCCAAAGAAGYTTGATGAAAGCCAGCTTTGGCAAGCCCACAGGTACTGCAATTACATCTCTCAACACAGACTTAAGGGGATCCAAGTTACATAAGTGGTACAAACATATCAGAGGAGAAGACTGAATTGGACTGAGTATCATAGAAGTAAAAGCAGATGGACAATATTCACTTAAGGCTATATTTACTCCTTTTTTTGGGGGGGGAGTTGTTTTTATTTTGCTATTTAGACTCACTTCCTTCCCCTACATTAACACACAATACTTCCTTAGGGTTCCCTCACCTTTGCACACTCATGCTAAATAATGCATAGGTGCAGGGAAGCTAYATTGTTAAATGCCTGTGTGGTTGTACTTACCACTGAGTCAGTYCAGGTTTCACTTCACCCCAACCCTACCAGAGATCCCTTTACTCCCTTCCTGTAAACCATGGGCATGCACACAGAGACAAACATGTACTGACTAAATGCTCATTAGCCAGAGGTCATGAAGTTTTATATTTGGTTTCAAGCTTGTAACCTAAAGGTTAGTCAATAGCACATAGCTGATGCTGCCACAACATCTGAAATTATGCAAAGGAAAAGGAAAGCCAGGCTCCTAAGCTACAGAAGGTCACACTTGTAAAATCAAACTTAAATGTTACTGATTTGTGATAGACTGTCCACAAAAAAACTATCCTTACTTGTCATAGCTTTGAAAGGGAAGGYTRTCGAGGGTTTTWAAAAATTTAGCTCACTGYTARAAGTCTTTTTAAGATTGAGTTCCAKTCTATTAGAAAGCTCCTCAATAATTTGCAAGTACTCCATCTTGCAACTTTTGGATGATGACACAAACAACACTAAGATTTAACAGAACTACAGTCCATACTTGAAAATCAGAAATCCTACTACCTAGACAGGTTCTCCATGCCATGCTGTATGACACATCTATAAAATGCTCATGTTTCATACTRCATAGCCTTCAGAGCAGTAGTTTTCCTAGTATGTTCGATTCACTGCATTACCCAAGCAGTGAAGCACACCTAGGCACCTACTTGATTTTCAATTAAATCTAAACAAAATTACCAACAAGGACTTTTATTTTTTTTCTGTAAACAGCTCCAWTATTTATGAGGATTTTTTTCCCAAGACACTTCTCAGACTTGCCATTTCCCTTCGGCTCAGTTAATATTTGAGGATACCATCTCATTAATATCATCCRCAGAGAATAAGGGGAAGTCTGTAAACAGAACACATCCCAAGGTTATGCTGAAATGAGTCAGCTAAGTAGTTAAGCTAGAAAAGGTAGAGAATAGTCTGTGTGAGGTCTCAAGTCTACTTAGACCAGWGTGCCTCCAACAACACCAGCAGAATTTGGCAATTCCTTCTAAAGGCTCCTGACATAGACAACGTTATTAAACAACAAATTATGCTAGCCTGACTGTAACTACTCTATATTTTGGGCTACACATACCATGAACAAGAATCACATAGCCAAGGTTTATCACTAGCAGTCATAATCAACCATCATTTCAAACTCTGCCATATCCATATGATTTTTTATTTCCTTATGGATTATCAGAAATACATCTTGGTGTTCTCCAGAGTACTTCCCTTCAAATACAGGTAAAAAGGAGAAAGGCACAAAARGAATCACCTCTTAACTGCAACCAGTGTTCTTTATTACAAGTACCCGCCTTTCTTTGTCTCTGGCAGAGAAAGACTTTTGTTCTAATTTTTAAAAAAATCACCAAAATACCACACACAAAAAATTAACCCACTGGTTGCACATGTTTTCACCTTTTTTTCACCTTGACTATAGTATCATTACTATATGTTCATGCATAGAAATCAACACTGCACATAATACTATAGGACTTCCAAGATTTTCACTATGAAACTGTAAAGTAAACAAACAGTTTTCAAAAATAACTCCAAGGATCTAAAAAAAAAAAAAATCATGCTCAACTGTTAAGAAACTACATCCATAGGGTTTTGCCAAATAAGGTAAATCTCTAAATGAAAAATAAAATCCAGACATTTTAGCATTTCAAGCTATTACACTTAAATAGTTTTTGCAACCTGCCACTATTAAGGAAAAAACCAAAACAGACTGACCCATATGAATTTTCAAGGAAAATTAAAAATTCAGAGCCAGCAAAAAAGCAGCTGAGACTAAAATTTCTCATGGCTCACCAAACTCAGCTTTTCACCTGAACTCTGCTAACAAACCAATATCTAATAAAAAAAATTATGACAAATTAATGTTGCTCATATTTACTAACCACAAGTCACTCACATAAGACAAACATTTTAAAGTAAGGAAATAAAAATGTAATTTCAAAACAGGAGAAATACAGTCAAGGGTAAAAGAACGTTAAAAATGTCCATCTTAATGGACAATTACAACTGAATTGTGAAGCAAACAACTCTTTCCTCTTTTTCAGAAACACAGAATRCCCTCTCAACAYACAAGTTAATAAATATTCAAAAWCAAACTTTCTAATCATTKTATCTGCTCAKCCTAGAACTTTATGTGTTACTAAARTTAGYATTATTCTCCATCACCCATCCACAGCAGATAGGAGCTGTGCATACCCACGTCTTTGTTTACAAGAACCTTTCACATATATTTTATCACATACTAGACTTTCACCTGTTTACCCTGAGGTTTTTCGTTATTATATGTTTTTCACATGGTACCTGCTATAGGCATCCTTCCCAAACTCTGTGCTTATCTGAAGCAATGCCACTGCTCAAGTCCCAGAGAAATATCACTGCATTCAGTTCCYGTTCAGATTTCAGTCACACATGAAGCCAAATCAGTTTTAACTTCTCTTGGGATGACAGTTCCCCAAAGAACAAGAGTGAAACCTAGTTAGCTAGGATGAACCATGGGAACTGTGAATAACATTCCTTACAAAATACATCATACTTTTGAAAGACACATATTAGGAAAAAAAATTCAGCTGTACCACCTACTTAATATTTTTTTGTTTGTTTTTTTGTTACTAGCYCTTCTCTTCCCTTCAGACTTGTTAAGATTCAGCAGTTCTGAGGCCATGTGAAGTCTAATTTTGTATTCATTCGCTCATGTGTACATAGGCAAGTTTGACACTTCGGAAGTAAAAAGTTGACAGCACTCACTGAAGCCAGTCCAGGCACTRCTTGCAAGCACTTACACTCACAGCYTCACAACTGTGCTTCACACCCTCAGCACTCCCAGGTTAATTCAATTAACTGATGCTTTCTCTGAGCAGAGGACAGTTCTCCAGACCTGGAGAGAACTGGTTTTGTTRGGTGTACAAGTGGGGACCAGATGGAGATCAACTGTACTTAAATAAAAGTGCCACCAAATCAAACTACCCTCTGAAAGGCTAATGCAATACTCTGCTGTACAAAACATTTAACTATGTGCATTCAGTGGAGTAGAAGACAAGTGATCAGGTAGAATTATATGACCTTCAGTAGCTTATACCAAGAGCTGGAAAAGAGGCATTTGAGAGAGAAATCTATGAAGCAAGGCATGTTAAGGAGTGTTCATGCTGCAAAATAAAAAAAAAAAAATCATTATAAAAAAATCAGACTCCCCAAAACCACAGAATCCATTAGCTGGAATCATAATTTTTCTGTTTATTTACCTTCTTATTAAGCCAGTGCCACAGCTTGTCAGTGGCAGGGGGAGATGGAAGAAAAGGGAAAAAAACACAACACAGTGGAAAATTATTGAAAAATGCAGTAATAGGGAAAAAAAGCAATGAGAGGCAGGCAAAGTCATTCACAGAATGAAAATGAAACTTTTCTAGACACAAAGGTAAATTGCAATAGGAAGAAAAGATCATAACAAATGCTAACGCAAGAACCTGGGTTTTACTATTAACATGCACTTTTGAAACWAAGAGGGATATAACAAATATGAACAACTTTAATGGTATTAACAGAGCTATCAGCACAATCTGGGCAATTCCAGTTTAATTATACTGAGAGCTACCATSAGATTTCAGAGCAGGACTTGTAAAAGTACGCCAAGAAGGGCACCTCAGCAAAACACCAAATCTTAACAYGAGATACTTGTTTATGGCATTAATTCTCCCATTCAGGCATTCAAATATTCCCATTCTATGCATTTCAAAACTTTCCTATTATGTCAATTACTGTTGAACAAATTTTGTATTTTTTTTTGCTACCACATTCATATTAAAGCATTCATATTCAATGGCACAACATCAAATACATAATTAAGTCTGATATAAACCAACAGCAAATTGCAGATCATATAAATGTATGGATTTCATGTCATTCTCCTTGCACTTTACAACAGTCAATTTCTCCTCTTTCACAAAAGTTATTTTTCTTTATTGATACTCATCCACAAGCTAAAGTATACCCATTTTAGGACCTAGTTTATGTAGGACTATACTCTTAATTCTAGCCAYTAGTAATCAATCAGCAGCATAATCACAACAGTGAAGAGCTTTAATGTGGTTATTTATCTGTGTTAGAGATTAAGATCACCTAAGTTTATTTCTCCTTGAAAACAAGATCATTGAATTCTCAGCAAATCTAAGGTGATCACCAGTTGCCAGAAATTATATTAGYTCCCAATGAAAACAAAASAATATTTCAAATTAATAAAAATCTMATCATGTTGATTAAGTCAGAACAGAAGAAAGAAGCAGATTTACAAAAAAAACATGATCATTAGGAAGCATTAAAGTATGTCACAAAGCACTCACTTTTACTGGTTTTTACTATTCATGTAAAGACACAGTCATAAAAGTCCATTATAAACTTTCAAATGCCTCAAACAGACCCTGTAGAATTTTCTACTTTACCTCTTCACCTATGAAATAATTTATCAGTAAAAAAAAAGAAAAGTTGTTCTCTGATTCAAAGACATACTTTTAACTTTACTGCCGCACAAAAAAATCCACTATCTGTATAAGAGCTTAATTTTGGAAAAAAATTTAGATCTCATGGTAGTATTTCTCCACTTTGCAATTCCACACTAAATACAACAAAAGATCCCTAGGATTTTTGCAGGATGTGAAGTCTTGGGTATTTTTCTCTCACTTCAGCCTCCAGGAACTGTATGATAAATACAGTAATTAGGCAATAACATTATATGTCAAAAATAACAGTATTTTTTATTAATGTTTAAGACAATACGTACAGGCTCTACCTGCCTATTAGCTTACCAATACTGATGTTTAAGTAGTTCCACAAATGTAATCAACCCACATTAGAAAATAGGCTACAGTTTAATCCTAATCTTCAAGTCATCAAAAATTAATAAGGCTATAGCCAYTTTTCCAGTATTTTATTGGAGAATTATTCATCWAAGATCTTAYATKTYTWTRRAARTAYTTYYAWARAMATGTAAGTACTGGAAGAGATTCTGCTTGTTTTCTGTGCTTTGTTAAACTATGTACTAAAGCTGGTACCAGAAGAAATACAAGCTGACTTTATCCAAAGTCCAAACAATGTAAAGAATCTACATATAAAATTCTAGTGCACTACACCTAGAAAAAGTATATAACTACATGATTCACTCAAGTCCACCAGAAAGCATGCATGTAAAATATTAGTACATTTCAACAAGTAGAAGTCTAGTGCATGCAGCTGAGCCACTGTCAATGCTGCTGAACTCTCACAAATTCTATAATCAAGCTGCAGCCACCATACTGAAAGATGACAGACTTCTTTAAAATAAAAGATTAGCAGTAAAGCAAATTATTAATTCTTTGCTGTTGGTGAGAACATGCATGATACAATATCTATTAAGTTTAAGATGATTTGGTAGCTGACAACAGAAACCTCTTTACTCTCTCCTCCAGGAAGTCTCTCACATCTAAACAGCTGTCTACTGACTCTCCATAAGGCAAATGCACAGCCAAGAACTAAAGAATACAGTAATGACATCCTATTTTCATAGACCATATTTAAAGGAGACACAGACAGACAGACTGACCTACTACTAATAAAAAAAATGAAAAGCAATGCCCTACTTTTTCTCTTGACCAGAATTTCTCTTMATTTCAAATTTCTCTGTACTTCCAAGACAACCAGGGGAAAATGAGCAGTGTGAAAGAAAACAAACAGTTGTTTTCTTGATGGTTTTGTTTAAAAGACAGATATAATCAGTAAAACTCAGATTTGCATGTGTAAGCAGTACTCACCCATTTCTCACAATGGGTTCTTTTCAGACTATCCACACTAGTCTTCTAACACTGGGAGAAAGACATGCCACTCWAARGTATCTTCCTCARTCYCACTACATTTCACTCAAATYTGGAACTATTTCCTARCTGGACATACCACRTTTGCCAGTCTCAGTAGTACSACTGAGTATTTGTCAGACAAATATCTTGTCAATGGCTTGCTATTCTAAGCTAAGAGCGTCAATACATCCTGATGCTAAGACTGAGTTTCCAATTAAGTTAACATACAAACAAAAAATCAAAACTAAACCAAACCCCTAACCAGATGCAGCTCCCAAGAAAAGAAATTACTAACTAAATATTAAAAATTAAACATGAAATTGTAAAGGAAATCATATCTCAGTCTTGGTTTCTCACATACACCCATAAAAGGTAAGCTGTAAAAATTTACTCTCCAAATTTCTCTTTTGTGTTTGCATATTTACTTCTTCTTCCACAGCATCTACTTAGGCCAAAACATTCGGTAATCCAACTTAAAAAATCTTGCAAGGATGTAATTTTCACTCCTCTTGTTTCCCTGCCCCTACAAAAAATGTAACTGCCAATATTCTGTGGCATTGCTTCCCAAATGCTAAGATACCATGCATCCATCATCCTATAATACACAGAATAAACATAGCCAGTAGAACTTAAAATATATGTAAGTATTAGTGTGATAAGCATTAGAAGACTACATATAATCCCAGCTATCTATGGTAAATTGCAACTGAAATAGAAGAGGCACAAATGAGGACAACAGAATCATGCAGATTATCAAGTGTCCTTCTTGCAATGGCTGGGAGAGATTAAATTGCTTTAACACAGAGAGCCCAGACTCGGGAGGAATACAGCTGTCATCAGAAAAATGGAGGGGTGAAGGGACATGGAGAAATGAGTTGTGCCAACACTGTTCTTTTGCTTAGACAAAACCAACAAGTAAATAAACTGACCTTAAGTACATTTAAGCTGAAGAATGAGAGGTTCTGCTGCACATTAAAGCCCTACCTTCTTTAAGGAGAAAAGACTTGTCGGAATTAGGAAGAATACTGTATCATACAATTATGCAATAAAAGGATACCAAACTTTACAACTCATGAAATAACAATACATGAAATATTGCATCTAGATAATCTTCTTAGCTACAGAAGAAAATCTTTTTATAGAATGCTTTGTATTATGTGAGCTTTTATCTCAACATGTTAGTAATTTCCACCTATCTCTGGAAAACACCTTCATTGGGCTCACAGCTGTATTTTCAAAGGCTTTTCCTTTTTTAAATTCTTCCTCAATGAGCCCTCTGAAATCATTACTTTCTTCCTAGAGCCATTTTAATGCTTCTGTTGACCTTTTGTCATCCATTCACCCATTAGGTCCAGGCTTAAGCTCCTCCCACTCCTGTAAGAATTCAGAGCTATAAACTGCAGACCAATCTGCCAAGGTACAGATACTCTGACAAAAGCACTTTACAGGCTTCAGATCTTCAGTTATAGAAGCCCCAGATAATGGCTTTTTCTAGAGCAGAGAATACGTCAACACCACAGGTATAGATAGCATATTCTTACACACYGCTATAGCTATTACAAACAAAATAATCTACCCATTTTAATGAAAACTTACAATTCTTAATGAAAAAACTTACTAAATTTTGTGGAGCTTTCCAACTCTGCAATTTGCAGTGTAAATTTAGGCATTTTCTGAGTGGGGGAAAAGGGAGTGAAACACAAAAGCTTTATTCTATGGTAGTTCACAAATACTTTATCCCACATATTTCTTTACTTACAAAGGGAAGACTCATTTCTGTACCACCATACCACTACAACAACTTTTCTTCCACACAGTATAAACAAATGTGTCTGAACTAATTTGGGCCCTACTTATAGAACACAGTAGTCTGCTTTTTAATGAATTTAATTTCATGTAAGAAGTAGGAACATTTTATCCTTCAGACTACAGCTCATTAGGTTTAACTTCAAAATCTTTGCAACCAGGTAATGTGACTAAATCGTGAGAAGTTTGCCTTATTCGGAGAAGGAATCTTATAAAGCTGATTCAACATTTTAAGTGACTTCCACCAAGGTTTGCATGCAACCATTTAACAAATTTAAATGTGTACTTGAGCGTGGATAGTGATAGAAGAGACATAATTTAAAATGCACCATAAAACAGATACAGTTTTACACCAAAGACATATCCATTAGTGACAGACATTTATTTTAGAATTAAAGCATCTCAGAAAATGGTGAACAGAGAATTAAAAAAAAACTTTCAAGTTGCTTAAGGAAGTAGATAGAAATACCTTGCTGTCAAGCTTTAGCATAACACTTCCGAGTCCTCTGATGGGTCGTGGAGCAAGAGCTTCCTGACGTTCCTTCACAAAACTTTCAACAAGTTGCCACCAGCTTTTGCAGTGGTTTGCCATGAAGTTCAAAACTCCAAAATGAACCACGATTTTTTTAAGTGCCCAAACTGTAACCACAAGAAGGAAATTAAGTATCAATGATTTAATAGAAGCACCACAAGACTACTTAGCTATTCAACTCTGGAAAACCTATGAAAAAGAAAGGAAAACACTCCTTGAGTTTAATTTCCCATTAGAAACCACTTTTGGAATTTTTCCATGTTTTTAGTAGTAATCTCCTCACTGGCTTTGCAGCTGTGCTTATCCACGTGGAACTTAGGTGACAGCAGAAGAAAGATGCCTGCACACCACTCWGTAATGCAGCCAACAGACTTAGGCCTGGGAGAAGAAGGTGCCACTCCATGATTTCAGTACAGTGAATTTCTTATATATTCACACACACACCAGGCCAGATGATGCCACATAAAGTACCACAATCAGAACTTAACAGCACATTACACTAAAAGAAAATTTTCAGCCTATATTCTTAAGTTTTAGGCATTTTAAGCTGGTAAAGCATATCTTTCCTTTAAGAACTGACAGCATATCATGAGTAATTTCACAGTAAGGACGCATCCATTTAAACCTTCCATTGAAATACTACTGATAGATTTTGCCTTTAAATGTTAAAAAAGCTATTTGAGTTTAGCATTTTATCTTGGCAACACAGGATATTGAACTCCCCATCATTATATGTAACCTTATTTTTAATTTTTTTTTGACTACTCTCCAAACCAGATTCATTACTTACTGCCCTACATCAGCTCCACAAGAGTTGGCAGTACAACACTTCATCATCAAAAATTCACATCGTGTTTCTACTTGAAGACATGTAAAATGGCATACACAGCCAAAAAGGTTAACTTTTACTACCCACAGGGCATTTATCCAAGTTCCACAAGAACCTATTCTCTGCAAGCCACATGGGTAATAGTTTATGTTCTTGTTCTCGTTTTTTTGAGAGACAGTGCAACAATTTCCTGACATTTAGTTCACTTACCCTCTGGCACCACCACGTGGCAAATAGGGGATTTAGTATCTCTAAGAAACCGCACAATCCACTAACTCCTGTAAGAAAATGAGTTAGAAACGTACAAAAAAGGAGAAAATATATTGTGTGTGCCAGCACTGAACTTTAAGGCTGAAGTTTTGTATGACAGAAGGCAGCTCACAGTCAATACACAAACTGCTGCTCAGCAAAGCCAGGCAAGCTTGCATTTTACAAGGTGAGTGACGTGGGTCAAACGGCATTCTAACCTTCCACTATCAAGTGTTTGAACAATATCTTCTGAAATAACTGAGTTTGCATTCATTGCAAAGGTGGTTTCAGGTGGTGCTACAGTCAGCAGCTGTAATTATATTAGGTTAAAAAGAGACAAGAGAAAAAGCTAAAGGACTGTTATCAGAAAGCAGTGAACAAAACAAGAAAAAGGCTGCATAATAACAAGTTCCAAACACCTCCAGGAAGCAGAAAATTACCTGAAGGAAAAAAAAAAAAAAAAAAAAAAAAAAAAAGAACACAAAAAAAAAAACTCAACAGGAAAATCATGGAAGCAAATGAAAGATCTTAAAAAGAGGTAATACCAGAATTTCCAGACTCACATCACTGAACAAAATGTTACGAGTGTTCCACCACGTGGTTCACTGCTTAGCTTCTGAGTTCACTGAATTTCTTTCACCTTTTCATTTTATGAAAATGGATTATGGTGTAATTATGGTATCATTTTTCCACCCTCTACACTAAGCAATTTTAAAAGACCATTTCATTTCAATTGAAGTACAAATGCATTCAAGGAAAAATCTTAAGGGTACCAAGATGTTTCTAATAATCCAAATGCTGCTTTGTATGAGTTGTCTACCAATATAAGGAACTCCAGTGAAATTAAAACCATTCTATTTAAGGTTTTGGGGAGATTTTTTTTTTTACATACTAGAAGGATCCTCTCTAAGGTCTCAGAAGTGCCTCAAGATATTAATCTCCTTAAACTTCAACAGTTGCAAGCAAACTTGCTTTATTAGCCTTCCTATTTTCCTAACACTTTTACTACTACCTTTTAGCCATCCAGATTATCATCACTCACCTTCTGACATTTAATGAAATCCACTGTTCCAAATTTGGCTCTGTTCATCATTATACTCTCCATTTGTAATATTTTTGATGATTCAGTTGTGTGTCATGAAAAAGCACGTAACAGCCCAGTGTCACCACTAAGMCAACAAGTCAAAAATACTCCCAAAAGCAATTTCTCTAATGACTGTCAGGAGCAGTACTCATCTGTTACACTTACAGATGTGCATTTTAATCTAGATTTGTGCGGCTCAAGCTTGAAACCATTCACTGCCACCTGTCCAACTGCAGAACTGCTGAATCCCTTTTTCCTCTCATGCAAGTAGGCATTTCTGAACAGTGGTTAAGTCAGTCCTTGACTTTTCAATGAGTAAGTCACATAAACTCTGCTTATAGCAAGTCTAAAATTTATTTTCTAATTACTTTTCCACTTGTGATYGTCATTTCCCATGATGCACAATACTGGGAAGTTTCTCCTGTAGCAACTACACTAAAATGAAACAAAGGTCAAACCCTCTCTGCTCTCTCTCTGCATTCAGCTATTTTTATGTCTTGCCATCATATTGCCCTTTAGCTGCTGCTGCAGTGCCACAGCCAAAGGTGCAGCTGTCCCTTTCTCCATGCCTTGGAGTTCATAGCCCTTCAAATCTCTAAGGATGACCCCAAGTCACACTTTCCAGATGGACAATTAAATGGCTCACARCAGCTTTGTGTGTTGTGTGCAGATCTCAAGGTTTTGGTAGCAGGGGGCCCTCTAGGCTGGCATCCATGGGAAGAGACCAGGCATGGTCTTGTGCCAGACACAGTTCCAGGTGGCTCCAGGACAGATCCATGACATGCCAAAACTGAGCTCATCAGGCACATGTGTGGTCCTTCAGCAAAAATGTATCTAAGAAAGGGCAGAAACCACTTGGCATGGAGAAGAGGAAGAACACAGAGAGAACAAGTGGCTAGAGAGGAAGAAGGAACAGGGGGATGCACAGAGGTAATAAAAAGGCCAGGGAAGCAGAAGTGCTCCACAATGGAATAAACACACCACTCAGAGGCACTGTGGCCTATGGAGGATCCATGCTGGAACAGCTACATCTCTTGGAGGGACTGGCCTAGGCAAAAGGAGAACCCAGAGCCCAAACCTCCCTAAAGGGAATGCAGCTCATTCATAAGCCCACATTAAAAGCCTGGAAGAGTGATTGGTTTTGTGGGTACCTGGCCACTAGCTGGGGCCAACCCACTACACTGAGTAAAAAAGGAAATAGCTACATAAGTGTTAATGCATTTTAAAATGCTGCAAACTAGCATTTTAACTGAAGTTTAGAGAAAATCCAAGCAAACTAGGAAACTCACTTTGTTAACAGTAGGGGGATGAGAAGAAATGCCTTCCAATTCAGAGTAGCTCACGCATACTCCTAGAGTTCCCATCTTAACTTTTTCCAGTACTCTTTTGGGGGACTGAAAAGTGGCATTCAGTTTTAAAATAATGTCTTTCGATACCTATCATAACTACTCCAATTCTTGCTTGATATATAGGAGAACAGATGCATGTAGATGTGAAGCAACAAAGCTAATTAACCTCAGAGCTAAAAGTAGAAACAAATTTATCTTGTTCTTGTCCACAGCACCTAGAAACCTATTTTTTACAGAAATTAAAAGTTAATATGAGCTCTACTTCACTACTGAGTAACAGCTAAATTAATCTTCATTTATAGGTGCAAAAATATAAAAGAATTGACATCAAGAGGAAGTATTCTTACTATGTAAGGTATGGCACCTTCATTATTTCAGCTAACTACAACTGTCAATAGACAAAGCAATTTGACATATCTACCTACAACATGGTAACAGACAGTGCACATGAATCTTCCTTTTTGAAGCTACAATTCAACTTGTCTTAACAAGCCTTGAAAAAAAATTTATGTAAAACTCACACAAGTCTACAAACTTTTCTTCCTATTTTATTTATCATGATGCCAAATGTTTTCCAGTAATCAGATTATTACCTGCAAAAGGCACTGGCAATAGCTGCACAATCCAAAAATTCAGCCAGATCTGAACAATGACAATGGCCCACACAAGAGTAACAAAGTAAATATCACTGGTTTTCTTTTTCCTAAGAAAAGAGCCAATCTCAGGTCTTTGTCTGTTCCCAGAAGATGTTGAAGAGGAAGATGATGGAGCACGTGGACGTGGAGGCTGATCACCTTCTGTTGCTCCTAAAACAAACGCATGCAAAGAAAGAAATGGAAATTATCACATTAATATTCACCACCAGATAGAGTTTGTTCCCTATTCCCAAATCACCTTTTTTTTTCAGATGTTGGGGATGAAGGGAGGGACAGCAGCAGAAGGCTGCTGTTGTTTGTTTTAGAGAAATTCAAAAAAAAGCCCCAAGCCTAAAAGACTGAGACAGCCTTGGCACCGACCTGCATTTCGTAAAGCTAGAACAGGGCTGTGTAAGATCTTCCACATCCTGCAACATCCTGCCAAGCAGTGCTGAGAGTAGAAAAGTTGCTACAACTTCTAAGAGGCCTCCTGTCACTACAGGCAAATTACAAGCCAAATGTATTTTATCAAAGACTCATCAAACCATGAAACACAAAATATAATTAACTTCTAAAAGAAACCCAAAGTCTTAAATAAATCTTTGACTTCCCTGTACTTTGAGWACTCAAAAAGGAATCTTAGATTTGTTCAAAGCTCATTTAAACACAACAAAAAATACAGAGTATACATTGAAGAGAAAGCTTATCTCTTACTATTCCTTTTCCTGAACACTCACAACACAAAAGTATCACTCCCATTGTCACCCTAAATTCCTTGCTTGTTTAAGAAACATTAGTAACAGCAAGCACAAATTAGTGGATAACAAATTTTGTCAGTTTCTCACCCATAAGTTAGCAAACAATAAATTAAATTCAAAAATGTAAACAGATGTGTTAAAGACCCTACATATAAACAATAAATAGTCTTTTAATGCAAAAATATTATGCTCAAATTAAAATTCTTGGATACAGAACATCAAAATTTGTTTATTTAATCTTCCAGTTGCTGGATGACACCAAATCCATCTTCAGCCACTCTATGTAAAATCTCTCCCTGAGAACACCAGTAATTATGGTTAATACATCAGTTAATACAACAGCATTCTACTGAGACTCAGTGCTGTTGCCAAAATGCACACATTTCCCATACGCCACCACTTGACGGAAGTTTGCAGCCATAGTGGAAGAATGCACACACAGGAAAACCTGAACTTGTGTTCAAGGACTTGTGTCACAGATCTATCTCCCATGAAGAAAAACTGCATAAAAACCRTACTACAACATGCTACATGCACAGCAGTCAAACAACTTGTGTTCCACACATGCATTTTCAGCTGTGGTGCGTCACTAAAGCTATTTCTAGCCTAAAGCATGATAGCTAAAATGTTCAAAAAGGCAAGATTCATTTGTCATACAGCAGCAGTAAGCGACAAACTGCATCCTTACACAGTGGATGATCACTCCTCTTGTGCTGCAGAAATCTGTACTGGTGTCCTAAAGAAAGTGGAACTACTTTTACAGCTTATGAACACGTCCCCTAACACACTAATACAAAAACATAAATCGACTAATTCACACAAGTAGGATTGACATTGGGATGACAACAGAAAGATCAGCTGGTTGCTGGTTATGTATTTGGAACTTCAGAATATTCACAAAGCAATTACAGCATGCAACCTTAAAGAAGGAATTCTGCAAGTAGCTAAGCACAGCAGAAGCTCAGGTGGGGAGGTTCTTGAAAAATCAGTATGAATCTCGATGTGATGATGGCCAGCCCTACCATACAAACTACATTTTGGAGAAAAAGACAGTTTTTCATAAGGGGAGAAAAAAAGTTACCTGTAAACAGAAATTTTGCTAAAAAGACAAAGTGTTTTTGTCATACAGAAGAGGATCAATGATTCCCCTGTACATCTCAATCTGTATTTAATAAAGCAGAAGAGTAGTAAAAGAAACAAATGGATGAACTAAAAGAATACAAATTTGAAAGCAGTATACTCATAATTAAGAGTTCTCCCCAAACAATTCAATTTATTCAACACTTCTTACTGTTTTGCCCCAAAATTAATATAACCGACATAAGAAGTAACAATTCAACAACCAGAAACTCAAATATTTATCAAACAGAAGGAAGCGCTAAAAGCCAAAACATAGTAAGAGCTGAAGTCTATACCTAGGATTAAAGTTATTCAACACTTTTTGCCCAGAAACTCCTTAACAGAGTCACCTTTATGAAATAAAAAAGTACATTCCTTCTTTTTAAGAAAAATTGAAGGACACAATTTTGCAATTAAGAAAGCCTTAATTAAATAACAGCAAAAGTAATGTTAAGAGCAGTAACAATTGAACAGCCTTATTTCTTACAGTTTCCCTGTAAGCGGACTGTGTACAGAACGCAAAACAGATGGGAAAGAGCTGAGGGGGTAAAAAAGGAAAAAGGGAAGGAAAAGAATTCTAAAATAAGAAAATAAAAGTAAAAACTGCCAGGGGATTCCCAGCCCAGAAAACTTTTTCAAAATGCAGCTCTGCAGCACTTTTAGCAAAACAAACTTGCTAACTAACCAATGATCCAGTATCCTCCCCATGACAAACAGGCCTGCATCAGAACTCCCATTCAGATGACTCTGATAAGCCAGTTCACAAAGCTACCAAAAGTTTGCAAATGAAAAAAGTCACCTTCTGCTGGCAAGATATGCTCTGCAAACCAAGGTGTGAGTGCCTTGTCAACACAAATAGGAAAAAAAGAACTGTCAGTACAGTGATTTTGAGTAACTTCARCTTCTGTAAAATCCCATTTAGTGTGCTTCATGGTATTTTGAGATGAAACCTGAAAAACACCTTTCTATCTTTCAACTAATGAAAGTATGACAGTCTGAACAGCTACCACAACACTCAGTGAAGAATTCTAGCAAAATCAGAATGTATGGTACAACWAAAAAAGGAAWTTTTCCAGGCTGTCTCATTAAGATCTGCTCTTTCCATTACACAAAGGAAATTTCAATTTGTCATGTCAATTTCTTGCTGTCAGAAAATTTTGAATTATTCTCCACCCCACAGAGAAGAAAAAGAAACAGTAACATAAACAGAAGGGCAGGTCTCTGTATCTGTGCAGGGCATCAGTGAGGAAAAGAGTGATTTTTATTATTAATGAAGTCTTCAGAACAACAGGGTGAAGGTACCCCTTTATAAAGAACCATGTATTTACATAGTTTCAACAGAAAAATATTGCTTATGCTTTTTTCTAAGAAAACAAAGAAGTGAGGGTAAGAGGGAGCATAAGAGTCATGATTACATTTCWGGATTTCAGTATCTATTATACCCATAGCCACTATTGCAGTAGAATCTCACCTACAAAGTACTGTAGTGGTATCTGCTTCAGAAATTGCAGACTTCTTTGCTGTATACCCTGGAAACTCTTGGAACACCAGGAAGGGCCACTTAGACCACCTGAACTGGTATCATTAAACTCCTTGCCCCCAGTACTAAACACCAGTATTCAACAACAAAATATGGAAAAACCTGAGTGTTCAGAGAAAAATATAAATTCAACAAAGCTTATATTCCCTCACRGTCTTTTAATAAACATATTTTAGCCTGGCTGATCTGTCAGGGATTTAATACAGTATAAGCAAAACAAAAAAATGTAGGTTCTTAAGCCCATAGGTAAAACCTTTTTGCTGTACAAGAAAAACATTTAATCCAATATAAATTCAATTCACAAAAGATCCAAACCAGAGGTGGCCAAAATTATGCTCAATATATTGCAGAACAGAATACTAATTCTTACCAGAATGTTAGAAAATGATTTTAACTATTGATGGGAGTTACAAGAAAAKGCCATATTCTTTTTCTGCTGTAAAGGAAAACAACAGAATTCAGAAGACAAAACCACCCTCATCTGGTTTACTGTTTTAGAAAACAAGTTAAAAAATATAAAAGACATATAAAAGATAACTTTGAAAAACTACTGTAGTTTTCTCTCCTTGAAAAAAGAAAGAAAACTGTCTTGAAGACGGGAAAAAATAAGAACTGCAAGTTAAAAAAATAGAACAAAASAACACAACCACTTACATAGCCCGTTTGTGGGCATCTGTTGCTTTTCTAGATTTCAAAATTCAGCTCAAAATAAAAAGTTTCATTTCCAAAATAAAGATTAGACACAGAAATGCGGGAGAACTGTCACTATGATGCTCTGATCTCAARCTTCAGGACATAATTCCATAGGCTTCTATCTTTATATGGATGACAGTCATGTAAAATGTAGAAAAAAACGGTAAGAGTACTGTTGTGTAAAGCTGCCCTTTTCAGATTTAAAAATTAAGGTCTGGAAGTTCACATTCTATCAAGCYGAGTGATCTGTTTGGTCTACGTGCAGGAAGTGGATGAAACCTTTCAATTTCCAGAGATCTCAATAATAGCTTAATTTTCTAGTATCGCCATCCATCAAAGATCTACCCAAAAAAGCAATGGCAAGGTTCAAACACAGTGATGGACATCTAAAAACTTTCTTTGAACTCTTTAAAGTCAGTTGTGTAACTGCAAYTGAAAGTATGTGACTCAAGCTACAAAGTCAAGTAAACTCACTACAGAAAGGCCTTTGAGCTGCCATAAAGGGTTTGTTTTTTTTCTCACTGCAATGTACATAAAAATTCCTCCTGTCTGTCTGTACCTAGTCCAGAAATCCAGTTATATAACATGTAGCTGCCAACAAATCAAAAGCCTAGGAAAGTAAAAAAATTTAAAATTAAGAACAGGAAAAAAAAAAAATCATACCTTCATCCTAAAAAAAAACTCAAACCCCTAATAAAACCTTCTAGTCAGGCCTTCAAAATGTAGACAGCCACATAAACYATCCTTGCTAGATAGCTTTTATATTAGCATCATATTAACACTTTTTAAAACAGAYAAATCTGAGTCACAATTTGGACAGAATGAAGAGGTTACAGACTATTTTGAGATTTGTTCTGAATTCCCTCCTGTTTCATGCCTTTAGAGCAAATTCAAATGTTTCTTACAGAGTATTCAGTCACCTGAGGGTTGGGAAGAATGCTCATTATTGGACTCATCCTCTGTCATTGAAATTGCCATGGCAATTGTTGAAGCAGCAATGGAAATCATCTGACCGGGAAGCTCTGCCCCTGTAAAATATATACATGYATGTAAATAACAAAAAGCTTGAGTCTTAAAATGTTTTATTTGCTGTTTGTTAGATATGCACTGGAGCTGACAGGCAAGAGAAATTATATAGACACTGTTAGTTTTTAGTATGTATTATATGTAGTCAATACATGAATGAGTATTAMTTTTAGTATTACAATACATCTGCAGCCAAAACTCAAAACCAGTTATTTGCTTAGTGCCTTTCTTGCTAATGAACTGCTACCAACCAAGACATTMATGGCTGCTGGCAGTCTGATTATTTAAAAAAAATTTATACCAGTTGATCAACTTTACTAACCAACTAAAACAGCAAGACAGGAATAAAGTTTCCTTCATCAGGAACATCTGATGCCTTTACTTTTTTCAAAACTGACTTGCAACAGAAAAGCCCCATTCTTCTCAAAGTCTAAACACAAAACATATTTTAAGAAACTATTTAAAAGTGAATGACTGGATGTAAGAAACTTGTTGGATAGAGCTGTCTCAGTTTTTCACACACTCAGTATTATAGGAGCTACTAAACCCATATTTCTCGTTTCTTTCAAAATTCATCTCTGGTTTTAAATGTCCTGGGCTACCTTCATGCCTGGAATTATATATTTCAATCTATAAACTCAAGGAATTTGGCTTACTAATGAGTCGCTACTTTACCATGGAAAAGAAACATCAGTCCATTGCAATTGTTTTCTRTAAAGAGTCCAAGATTCACTTCAGCATGAGTAAACCACTTTGAAACACACTATACATCCTGTAGTAAATTCTTGCAATCCATATGCTGTGSAATTTATGGGGATATGGTCCAGATTATTTCACATGACTTAACTGAATTATTGCCTCCAACAATAAGAGAAACTGACTTCTCCTTACCAGAAGACTCCTTTCCRTTATGCTGGTCATGCAACATGCCTACTGTCATCAGAACAACTATAACCAGAAAAACAGGAATTCTCCAGGAACCTGCCACAGAAGCTGAAAGATACAGTATTGGGATTATTTTTGTGAGAAAAATTACACCATTAATTAATTCTGCATTTACCAAAACCAAGAAAGGCAGCACATCTACCAAAAACATTAAGGAAAGGAATAGAAAACACACGTGAAAAAGTTTCTCAAAAGAACAAACCAAGTTGTTACTGTTCCTAACTTCAGTGACTTTATGTTGATATAGAGAACCATTTTAAAAACAACATTCAAAATCTCATGAAAACACACACAAAATTACACTTTAGATATATGAGAGAAGTCATGTTCCCCCAAAAAATGTGTATTCATGTTTTTCTTACAGGGTTTTTCTTTGATTTTGGCTATTCAGCCTGTACTTACAGCAAATACAAGACTCAAAATATAAGCAAATACAAAGCCACTATACATGGCTTAAAACCTCAGGGAAGCCATGGGGAACYCCCCATGGTCAGAAAAACCCTTGAAACCTGCTGCTAAAGCCAAGTAAGTAATGAAGTACACTGTGAAACCTTTTATCATGGTAGTCTTCTGATAACTGCATATGTCCCCCATAAACTCTGATATGTGAACATAAGATGATAATCTATTATATTAAATGTGTAACTTAAATCTAAACAATTACTATGATCTTATATTTGTACTAACAGATTATATAGATTACTGGCAAATGTATTTTGCATTGCTGATATAACCCTGACATGCTTGTTGACTACTGATAGATTTTTTTTGGCTTCTATTATTCCTACTATTAAATGCATTTTACAGCTTCAGCCTTATTTAATGGTAGRTTTTCAATAAAATATCATCACAATTTAAAGCAAAAAACCAGCCTCATAAGACCACAGCCCTTCCACACTATCAATAAGTACCTCGTCTGTSAACCAAATAAGGGAAAATCATGGGAAGGACAAACTAGGCAGGAGGAATGGAAGACATGCTGCTCAGTATCTTGATGCCTTCCCATTTCCTATTCCAATGCTCCCTTCTGGAAACATGCAGTCAGAACTACTGAGCAGACAAAATAGTTTGCATTTCAGCTAAGACTCCATTTTACAGATATAACAGAAGAGCAAGCAAGGAGCTTTGTTGACAGAACCCTCAGTTATCAGAATAATAACTTCTTGTTACTCACCTAAGTGAAAGAGCAGCATAATCCAGACAGGAACAGAGATTGCTTTTAAGTAACGTTCAGTGCTTATATTCCACTTGAATGAAACCATCAGCAGGTAACCAACTACCAATGTCCATATCTTTAAGAAAAAGATACAMATAGGTATGTACACATGCATCAAAATAGAGCTCTACTGTCCTCATGTAKGTGTGTACACACATGCACACACCCGTAATTGTCATAGAGAACTGAAGCCAGCTTCTAAGCCTTCAAGAAGCCCACATTTCAATTAATTATAGGAGTTCATCAGCAACAYTTATGTGGCCATGGGGAGACAGAGCTGGCAAGTACAGAAGCACTCATTCCAGCATGGAGCAGTTTGCCAGCTCCTGTGCTCCAGTCCAAAGAAACAAAAGGGGGCTAAAGCCAGAGAAGCCATTAGGAAGCACAACAAAGACTGATGTTCCTCAGTGATGTTGGTCCACAAAACAGAGATGCCTTTATAAGATGTATAACATGTATTTATATATATATATATATATATATATGTAAMAAAAAAAAAAAACAAACACGAGGCAGGAAGATGTCAGTGAGAACTTGGGTTTGCTGCTTCTAACAGCCTCTTACAACTCCACTCATCAGACACAACACAGATTTGTAATTAAGAACCTTGAAATTATGAATTTGAGCTTTAAAATGCTGAAAAGAAAGAAGAAGAAAGCAGAAACCAGAAGAGGCCACAGGAGCTGAAAAGCTGCAACTCATGAGAAGATGTGAAATAAAAGTAAGAAAACCTGTAAAAATTAAAACTCAATGTTGCATTCTTAAAAGAAATAAAATAAACAACACATATAAACACAAATAAACAAGAAATTTTACTAGGAGTGCACAGTAGCACTCCTATAACAGCAYAGGGTTGTAACATAAATTCACTCATAAGGCACTTTACAGCACGGGTGTAATTGCATGACATAACTCATCACAAAGATCCTATCCTACTCCCTAGCATCAGCCACATAGCATCTTTGTATGATAAATATTGCAGTTCCAAGACAATTTTCTCTTTRGCTTTTAAATCTAATGATAAATTACAAACAGAAGACTCAATATGTTCAGTAATTTAAACTTTCTGTTTAAAAACAAACCAAAAGTAGGAGGGTAACAGGGTGTAAGCCTATGTTTAACAGCCAACAGAGCAAAACACACTGCACTGCTTCTAATCATGCACATAAATGAATATTATAGGGTTTGGGTATTTAATTTTTTTTTGTGTATTGTAAGTTAAAATAATTACTCAGTTCTCATTTCTAAAAGCTTAGCAAATGACCCGAGTAATCCTTATTTCTATTGAAGAGAGAGAAATAGCTGACTTCAAGATAAATCAGYCACCCTATTTCAGAGATCAAACAACAACCCTTCTGAAGCCCTATAAAAAGAACTATGTAGTCAACTGACTGGTGCAACACAGRGACACCACACAAGAAGTTTAATTTCATGGACAGCTGAATCATAAGCTCTTTCTTTACTGGTTAATATTAACGCAAAGCACTTCCTCATACTGCAAGAACTACTGCATAGGAACTAGGGTAGCCAACWTCCAACAGTTCATAGCTGAAAGCAACTGACAAAGCAAATTAACTTAAATTGGCACAGACTAGGATTTCATCCCATACTAACTTGACAACAGCATACTTTTATTTTTCTTAACCCTTTAAATGCATGTTACATAACCCTTCCCACTGTTTTTCTGGATGGTCTGTAAAGGTTTTGGCTGGGAAAGCATGGAGAACATTAACAGCCTCTCTACTATTATATGTCATTCTCAAGAACTGACATAACTGAAACAAAGAATGAAAGATACTGCCTACTTTCACTAAAATTAAGCTACTGCAATCATTGCACTGAAACTGCATTTGATAAGATTCTATGCTAAGCCAAAATGCCTATAAATTTGATTTATGCGAATGTACAGCTAACCAGGCAGCTAATGCACACACTTCTGATTTTGCAGAATGCATTTGCTACCATAAACTATTTATTTATCATAGCTGAAGTAATTCACAAATGCCTAACTTTTACTATGTACACTGAGATTTTAAATCACTACTCAATCACAATTACTTACAGACATGCACATATCACAACTTTGGGATAGTTGCTGTCTGTTGAGACAAAGAACACAGGCAAGGGAAGGAGGAAGGGCAGCTTGCAAGACCGAACTCTCTCATTTTACACATCTTCCCTGCATTTTGTAGCATCTCTTACAAACTGAACAAAGTGCTGCTTTTCCTTTAGACATGTGAAACTGCCTGTTTCTCCGAATAAATAGCTCTAAGACTGGAGCATCACATCTTGGATGTTAGCATCCATTTCTGTGTTAAAGTGGTACATTTAAGCAGCAGTTTTAAAGATGTCTAAGGCAACTATGAAGGGCTTTAGTTCGCCTTAAATTGCCAACTGGGGAAAAAATTACACTATTGAAAGTTGAAGCTTTTATGTTAAACTCAAGCACCTGCTTGAGTGACTTTTCTTTGAAATTTCAGTGTTGCAATGTCTAAGATTTATCAGCATGAACTATCACCAGAATTACTGAAAGYTTTGTTTAAGTTTAAGGATTTGAAAAATCTATAAGCCACTCTTTTCAGTCTGGCGTCATTTTGAAAGAACTCTTACTGTGCAACTTTTGACAACATTTATACTATTTTTATTAGAGAGTAAAATCCTTTATTTACACGGTTCCTTCCCTTTTTTCTGATCAAGTTAATCTCTCAGGGGAAGATGAGCTCACAATAATTCAATGCTACTGAAAGTGGCAATTCATTGTCGCCGAGTGCCTGCTGGGCAGTCCCACCTCTTCTGCACAACAGCTCCACAATTCATCCAGCCAGCTCAAGCTCCAGAAACACTTACCTGTGGTACAGTCATAGCAAAACAGGCTCACAGAAATGTAACAGACACCAAAAACAGGGCAGCTGAAGCATATGTCAGAAGTGGGATAAGCAACAACAGCTTCTCACTGTAGAAGGCTGCAAAGCTGTTGGAATGATTTAGYCTTCCTTGGAATGTTGCCCCAAGGACTCAACATCCAGTGGCAAACACATTTCCCACCTGCTTCGTGTGCCTTCTCAGGCACATGGTGTGATTCTTGGGGTGGTCCTGTGCAGGGCCACGAGTGGGACTTCAGTGATCATTCTGGGTCCCTTCCACCTCAAGATATTCTATGGTGATTCTATGAACCACCCCAAAAGTCAAAACAACAGTGAAGACTGAGAAGATGAACCAACAGTTACTTCTTTTGATACAAACTCTGCCAGTCTGCCAAACTTTTTCAGTTTTTAACAAGTCAGCACCTACAAAATGGAGTGTCTGAATTTGCTCCTTTTTAAAATGTAGCTCTACCCTCTTCTTGGCCCTTTTGAAATAATATTTTTTTCCCAGGCTGCTCTTTCCCACTTGGAAAACATAGGTAAGGTTTTTCAGAGTTTGGTTTATGTTTTCGTCTGTTTGGGGGATTTTAATTGAGATTTAAATTTGAGACTGCTTGATGAAACTACAGATCTAATTAAAATCACTTTCTATTTTCCAGTTTGTTTCAGTGTTGGAAACAAAAACAAGGGGGCACCCAATCACTTCCCTTCAATATTTTAAAATAAAATTTTTCATTGGGAAATGAAAAGAGATTCTCATTAGTTTTTCTTAAAATAGAAAATCATTAAAAATATTGACCAAGCATTAACACAGCACTTTTGCAAACTTTAAAAACAGTGCTGCAGAGCAAAGATGGTTGAAGGAGCTGATCTTGCAACACCAGTTCACTATTTCTACATCTCCCTCCTCAGCGGTGATGCAGGCTGACAAAGGAAAACAAACCTACCACAAAAGCTGAGCAGAGGAGTGTTGGACTTGAAAAATGAAGGACACAAGACACTAAATGCACTGCTAAAAGCCAAACGAGAAACATCAGTGTTTTCTTTATCTGCCTGGTCATTTCAAAATAGTTTTCTAAAGAGTATAAAAGATAATAGGGAGGCAGGTGACAAATTGTGAAAATGTCATTTTGACTCCAGTTTTCAGAACCAAAATTAATTTATTATTCCTTAGTACACAAGAGGAAATATCCCATAATATACAGAGTTTGGCAGAATGAGAATGTGTAACTGCCTGTCCTTTAGCATGGAAACAGCCTTTGTCAAACACATAACAACAGAGCCAAACTCCAATTTATCACACATATAAGACTACTGTTCACCTCAGAGCAAAGACAACCACCTCCTCCCTTCACTACATAAGCCTKCATTTCCCTAAAGCAGACTCTAAGYGAACACAAGTAAATTACTCCTTGTCCCAAGTCCAAAGGACAGTGCACCATTCTGTTTCTTCTAGAACCCCCAACTGTGACACAGATCCATGTTGAATATTTCTGGCATCAAAACACACAGACGACCAAACCACATGAAACAGAAACACAATGCTTAGTGAGATCACCCCTTTTTGAAGGGATAAAAGTATGAATTTATAACCAGAACCCCAATGCAGGGGGGAACTGACCATCAAAATCAACACTGCTACAGATGGGTTAAAAATTATTTTCAGTGTGTCCTACAACACTTCCTACACTGAATTTAAGAACAAAACATTAAATCTAAGCTATCCAGAAGAATGCAGCAATGGATACTGAGAATACTCCTCCTTTAGTTCAGTTTCCCTGTCTTAATACAGAAGTTACTTATGTCGTAATAAAAATGCTATTCAGAAATGAAACTCATCAAGATGCTCTTGCAAAAAGAGGTTTCCCAGAGCACATCAAATTCTTTCCCTGCAGACAGAACACCACTCCTCTGACAAACTCCATGGTGACACCCTTGCAAGGGACAGCTCCTCAACACACACAATTTTTTCACCTTCATGTTTTATTATAAAGAACACTGTTAAAATTTGCTAGATCAATAATGATCAATGCTTTCAGTTGTGGTAGAAACAGAAACATCCTTAAGTTCAACTAATACCTATAAATACCAATAAATAATATTAAGTATCATATATCATCAGGCTTTAGGCTTGTGCCAGCTTTGAGACTGTAGTTGCAACACATGAATTAAAACAAGCTCCTCAGCCTCTCCAAGAAAGGTACCTCCCTGCAGACTCTTCCAAAACTGATAGTGGGTGTAGAAAGCAAAAACAACAGTAGAAAAGAAAACACTATCAACATCTCAARCTTTCCCTGCCTCTCCCCATCTTGCTTTTAAATAGGCCACGTGTGGGCTYTACACAGTTTATCACTACCAGGCAAAGTTGTGAAAACAAACCAAAAAATTACATTTTAGTAAGATGTGTTTATAGTCAGTACTTGGCTGTATGATTTRTAAGCCAAGATACCATAATATTAAAGGATTATAAACAGCAAAAAGAAGCCTTAAGAACTTTTTCAAGTGTTCATTTTGTTTGGGGGATTTTTTATGGTGGGCAAGTTTTAGAAACTTGCAAGTCTGCTCTAAGAAGAAAGGGAAGAAAAAAAAAGAAAAAGCCCATCTACACTAAGCTCTCAAAATAATATAAATTGTATGCACATCGAAAATCAGTGTCTGTGCCTTTTTTTTTACTAGAAGACAAATTGCCCGATCAGATGAACATGACAAAATGTAGATGCCTTTTTGCCTGCACAGGTGATATTCAATAGGACTGTGGAAGCCAAACATCTCAGAGAACCTGACCCAAAGCATTTGCCAGGAAGCATGCTTGGAGAATTTCAGTCTGCAAGGGCTACTTGGGGACTGCCAATATTTAGCGCCAGCACAAATGGGGCTTTCTCTGGTGAATTTCTTTCACAGAATCCCTGATGGGGAGCAGATAGTCCACCGGCCAAAACAGACAACACATACTCTGGCAATATTCCAATACAGCAGACACAGCAATGGTAGGCAACGGCACTTCCAGATTTGACCAGCACCCTGGTGAGGACTGATTTATTRAGTACTCAAACTGCATGGAAACCCCTAGAAAAATACAAGTTGTGCCTAGACAGTCAGAGACATAAAAATACACCAATAAATATACACATGCATATATGAGTATGCAGTTGTGACCCTTACCAATAACTTGTGACAAAACAAGGAAGAAAGACTGGCCAGYAAAGAAAGATTTTGACAGCCTTGTAATCAATTTCACCACAGAGAATTCTGCTCATTATGACTGCATCAAATTTAATTTACTAAGATGAACCTCAAAGCCAACATAGAGCAGCTATATAATTCTTTACATCTGCTGGGATCTACAAACTATACACTTTCCAAATAAATACAAACACRTTAATTCTTCCTCTAAAAGAAGAAGAAAATATAATGAATAGCTGGTATTAGGTGTTCATTAACCTAGGTGTAAAACGTCAGCCTAAAGTAGTTTGAACTCTTGCCACAAAGCAAAAGMATCTCGTGCTTAGACACACAGGCATACTTTCTACAAAACTAGTGAAATTRCTGCAGCACAGAAGTGTGTTGGGCTATATTCAGTCTGCTATGGGGCAAATTCCAATTCTTTCTAAGAAAAAAAAAAAATGATAAGCATTCCCCTTCCCTGTTATACAAAACTGAAGTTTGGGCAGGGCCCTCTACATAAAAATTCTGCAACTAACCCAGAGAAGGCTGGAGTGAGAACAAGGAACTCATTTCCATTATGAACTGGAATTCATAACCAGCCTCTAAATTTAAGGCCCAGCAGCAAACTACATTTCTTAAGCAAGCTTCTTCAAAGATTATGCAGAAACTCTAAAMGCCTGAAGGGAAAGAAAAGAAGTCCGTGGGAACAAGATGCATGTAGACTAGCTTAAGATCCTGAACTTGTTCTTCAAATGCAGTGTTTTGCAATCAGCTATCAAACAATCCAATCATGGAGGTATGTAGGGCTGCAAATTCCTGAATTGCAGGTGTGACTTAAGAATCACAGACAGGAACAYAGGCACTCCTGAATCTTCACTGGTCAATGCCATGAATGGCTTTCCCAGATTTGAAGACAAAGGGACAAGAAGGCTCTTTAACATACTGTGCCAAGATACACCTTACCAATCACACCCAACTGCTGCATTTGAAAAACTTCCTTTTTTCCTGTAACTTAARAGGAGAATTTCTGTCTCAGAATCATGGTCTAGTAGATACCACAAAAATACCTTTAGTTAGTGAATAGCAAATCAGTATTCCAAATCCCCATAATTCTAATGATAGCCAAACACTCACTTTTCCAGTACAGCAGAGGGAATCAGAAAGGAAGAAGACAAATGAGCTTCCAGAAGGAACTGTGGAAGATTCAGAGCCCAGAGTAAAACAGGACAATGGAGAAACCAACTCATAATATCCAAAATTCCTGTGCAGCTAACAAGCAGAACATATGTATGCAAACAGAGTCCTGCAATATAATACAGCAATTAAAGGGCTTTTAAGTGCTTAACTAAAGTTAAAGCTGACACTATTAACTGATCCAGCTCACGGCTCCTCAGCAGCATGGATAAAATTAAATTATCCTGCCACATCTCTGAGATAGTACACACCAGGCAACAGCAAAAGTAAAAAACTGGGCTAGAAAAACACTGCAAAATGTCGGTCTGGATGATGCCAGACCAAGTTGCAATTATTTATAAAGGAAAGCCCRCATTTTTTTTTCTCCTGTAAAGCCCCAGAGAGACAGACAGCTTACTCAGAAAGTTACCTTCATACCTTCACACCAACCCAGAATCTTCCCAAGAAGCTGAAGTCTGAAGAGTTCTGGAAGCTTACTGTCTTTTGTGCAGTTAAAATCTTAGAGCAGTTTAATGAACCCAAGTGTTAAACCAGAAAACACCAGTGCCAACCAGAAGGATCAGACTGCTAAACAAAGTTGCACTGAGCGTGCACAGACATCCAGCAGTGCATTACAACCATAGTTATGAGGTTAAATAAGTGAAGCTTTCCTCACTACCCTTATATTTATGCAGCGTAAGTATGGTTTAATTAACAAAGTTTAAATACATGCTTGGATTTAGCCAGGTTAGTGTTAACACTATCATCGATTTGTTAAAAATTAAACAGGTCACTGCAAAGGAAAAGCTTGTCAAGTAAATGGTGTGGCAAACAAGTCAAAGCTTCCCACCAGTACCAGGCGACGCTTTTGATTCTGCCACCACTCAGCTCAAAGTAAATATGGTTGTATCTTCATTCTTTATGAAGAGAGAATCTCTGTCTATGCAGTCCTAATTATACTTCTGAGCACAAAACGGACCAGAAACACACACCCTCTGACATCTTCCAGCACCATATAAAGTCAAGAAAATSTTATCCTGCAGTGTTTACTTTCAAGAGACTGAACACATTCTCCTGTCCATTCCATTCACACTGGAGGCAGTGTGTCAAAATATTCTCTGTCAGTCCATTCAGGAAAACTGTTACCCTGGGAAAGGGCGCACTTTGTTTGTTTMAAAAATAGAGCAGCTTTTGAAGTCTTTGACACTAAGAAATCTGAGTATGCCAGTTGTACATCAGTATTTAGCAAGATAAATCCAACTTACTGATCTTCTGATTTTTCACATATCCATTTGCTGCTATGGAGTACTTTCCGTATTTTCACTTTTAACTAAAAAGTGTAAGAGTTCTGACAGAAGTTATAACCATCCTACCCACCGAACAGAACACAGTGAAAAGTAGTCTCCCAAGCTTTGTTACCGTAACATTCGTAAGTGAAACAAAGCTTTACTTTTTAACTTTCAAATTGTGTATGCACTGTTTAATCCTCGAAGAAGAAAAAGAAAACCCTACACAGCACACTGAGAAACAAACTTTRAGGTGCCTTCCACCACCCCAGGCCACTTGTGGAGCTGTGCTGCTATTTCACAACACTTCAACAAGTCTCGATGTTTGCCCAAGAACTCGCCTGAATCACCTCTGACTTAAGAGCATCTCCAGAAGCGGGGCATGACAAAAGCGCGGCCGCGGAACACGAACCACCACTCCCTCCTCGCTCACTCACCCACTGGCTGCTGAAGTAGTCGAGCCCCTGGCAGATGATGCGGGCGGCCTGTGCCAGCAGCACCTGCACKCCCAGGGAGCTGCCCAGGCAGTAGAGCCCGTAGAGCAGCGGCCCCCCGGCGCCCAGCAGCAGCAGGAGCCGCCGCCGCCGCAGCACCTGCTCGCCCAGCGCCTCCACGCTGTAGTTGGCGAAGCAGATGGGCAGGAGGAGGGCTGCCAGCAGCACCGGGGTGCGGGAGCGGTGCAGGCGGCCGAGCCAGCGCCGCCCCAGCGCMGTCAGCGAGGTCTTGAAGGGGTGCAGGAAAGTGCCGCAGAGCACGGCCCAGAGCAGCGGCCGCAGGAATGCCTCCAGGATGAAGTACACGAGCACGGCCGCGCCGCAGCACAGCCCCGCGAACAGCAGCGCTCCGGTGTTGTAAAAGGCCTGCTTGATGGGCTTCTCCAGCCGCGGCAGCGACATCCCCGCCGCCCCGCCCGGGCCGCCCAGCGGCAGCCGCGGCATGGCCGCGCCCGT